ATGATCCCAGGGTCCTGGGATCGAGTCCCACATCGGGCTCCCTGCTCCATGGGAAGCCTGCTTCTCCCTCTCCCACTCCCCCGCTTGTGTTCCTGCTCTCGCTGTCTCTGTCTCTGTCAAATAAATAAATAAAATCTTTAAAAAAAATAAAAATAAATAAATAAAAGCCAGTCTTAAAAAATAAAAACATAAACTAAAATAACTGAGCAGAGAAATCAGCAAACACACTGCAGGAGAGAGATTTTTCAGATTAACGTCCAGGCAAATTACAAAGCAAACAAATTAACAACAATAACCACAGAAGCAGCAACAACCCTCATGAGAACAGATGTCAAGTTCGGAGTTGCTATAATATGTTACATAGTATCTCCAGTTTTCAACAGATTTATGAAGCATATAAAGAAATAGTGAAGTGTGGCCCATACTGAAGAAAGAAACTATTAAGAGAAACCATGTTTGTGCTCAGATGTTGAATTTAATAAACAAAGACTACAATGCACAGAAGAAAGGATACTGCAGGATACTACATATATGAGATATCTAAAACAGCCGAACTCATCGAAACAGAGTCGAATGGTACAGGAGGAAGAAATGGGGAGTTGCTGTTCAAGGGGTATAAAATTTTAGTTATGCAAGACGATGAAGTTCTAGAGATCTGCTGTACAACACTGTACAACACTGTGCCATAGCTAACGATTACTGTATCGTGCAGTTAAAAAACTGTTAGAGAACAGATTTCAAGTTAGTGTTCATACTACAATAAAAAAAGAGGACTATAGAGCAGCCATTATAGATTCGTTTAAAAATTTAAAGGAAACAATGATTAAAGAATTAAAAGGAAATAGGACAATGAATCAACAGGGAATCTCGAAAAACAGCAATTATTAAAAAGAATCCATTAAAATTCTAGAGTCATAAACAGTAAATGAAAATTCCTAGACAGGCTCAATAACAGAATTTAGATGGCAGAAGAATCAACAAACTTGCAGATGAATAAAAATTATCCAATTTAAAACATAAGATGATAAAGATTAAAGAAATATGTACAGAGCTCAAAGACCTATGGCACAACAACAAATATATCAATATACATATGAGCCCCAGAAAGGGGCAGAAAAAATAATGGAAAGAATAATGGTCACAAAAACCAAATTTGGTAATATAAATCTACATATCCCTGAATCTCAACAGATCCCAAACAGGATAAACACAAACAAATGCATACCTATACACACTATGCTCAAATTGTTGAAAGCCAAAGAGAAAATCTTGAAAGCAGTAGGAGAAAAACAACTCATCACAAACAGGAAAATACATTTTCATTAAAAACAGTGGTGGCCCTAAGGAAGTGGAAAGATATATTCAAAGTCCTGGGGGTGGAGGGATGACAACCAAAAATTCTAATTCCATCAAATTCTATCCCTCAAAAATTAATTTGAAGTATATTCCAAAATAAAGACTGAGAGAATTTGTTGCTGGCATACTTACCTTACATGGAACGCTAAAAAAAAAAAAAAATCCTTTAGATGAAAGAAAGAAAAATAGACTCAGTAACTTGAATCCATGGGAAAAAATGAAAAGCAGCAGCAACAGTAAACATTTTTAAATGATATACATTCCCTTATATATCCTCTTTTCTTCTCTTAAATTCTTCAGAAGACATTGTATAAAGTAATAATTATAACAGTATTGTGTGTATGTATATGTGTGTGTAGATATATATAAAATAAAACACAAATGTAATATATATGACAATTAATAGCACAAAGGAAGGGGAAGGAAATAAAGGTATGCTGGAACAAAGTTGCTATATTGTACCAGAAGTTAGTTAATATTAATCTGAAGTAGTCTGCAATAAGTTAAGATGCCTAATGTAATACCTAGAACCACTTAGAAAATGACTTAAAAATAGTAAAAACTTAAGAGTAATTAAAACAGTACCCTGATAAACATGTTTAATACAAAATCATGAATAAAGGAATAACCCAAAGACATATGATATAGAGAGAGCAGGGGTGCCTGGGTGGCTCAGTCAGTTAAGCATCTGCCTTCAGCTCAGGTCATGGTCCCAGGGTCCTGGGATTGAGCCCCACATCAGGCTCTGTGCTTAGCAGGTCCTTGGATTGAGCCCCCCATTGCTCACTCTCTCTCAAATAAATAAATAAAATCTTAAAAAAAAAAAAAAAGATATAGAGAAAGCAAATAGCAAAATGGCAGATGTAAATCCAACCAAAGTTTTATTAAATTTTATGGAATAAAAACTCCAATCCAAGGGCAAAGCTGTAATGTATAGGAAAACAAACAAACAAACAAAAAACAAAAATCAAGATCCAACAAAACGTTGACTACCAGAGACCCACTTCAAATTAAAATACACAGATAAGTTAAAAGAAAAAGGACAGAAAGATATATGCCACATAAACAGTTATAATAAGAGAGCTGAAATGACTGTATTAATATCAGACAAACTGGACTTTAAGACAAGAAATATCACTAGAGACATAGCAAGACATTTGATAATAATAAAAGGTCAATACATAAGAAAGACATAAAAGTATAAAGGTGTATATACCTAAAAACAGAGCCCAAAATATATGAAGTAAAAACTGACAGAACTGAAAGGAAAAATAGACAATTTAACCATTATAGTTAGAAATTACAATGTTCTACCCCTTAATAGCTAACAGAACAAATAGGCAAAAAATCAGCAAGAATATAGCAGACTTGAGTAACAACTGTCACCAACTGACCTGACATTTTTTAATGCTCTATCAAATGAGAGAAGAATATGCATTCTTTTCAGATGCATGTGAAACATTCTCCAGCATAGACCATATGCTAGACATAAAACAAGTCTCAGGAAATTTGAAAGGACTTGAGTCATTCAAAGTATATTCTCCAACAAATAAATTAAAAATAAAGAAATTCAGAAAATACCCAATACTTGGAAATGAAGTGACATATTCCTAAATAACGTATGGTTTCAAAAAAGAAATGAGAAATTAGACAATATTTTGATTAAATGAAAACAAAAATACAACATATCAAAATTTATGAGGTATAGCTTATTCAGTGCTGGGGGAAATTCAGAAGTTTAAATACCTATACTAGAAAAGAAAGGTTTCACATCAGTAATCTAAGCTTCCACTTTAAGAGTAGACAAAGAAGAGCAAATTAAACCTAAAGCAAGCAGAAGGAAGGAAATAAAGATCAGAAGAGAAAGAAATCAATGAAATAGGAAACAGAAAAACAATAAAGAAAAACAAAGAAACCAAAAGTTCTTTGGGAAAAATAATCAACAACATTGGTAAGCCTTTAGCTAGGCTAAGAAAAAAACAAGAGATAACATGGAATACCAAAATCAGGGATAAAAGAAGGGATATAAATAACCAGCCAAATAAAAGGGCTGTGACAGAACCAATCTTACACAAATTCTTTCAGAAAACAGAGGCAAGGGAACTTTCCAACTCATTCTGAGACCAGTATTATTACCCTTTTACCAAAGCAAGATAAGGGTATCATAAGAAAAGTAGAGACCAATATCCCTTGTGAGCACTCACATGAAAATCCTTAACACAATATTAGCAAATAAAACCCAGCAACATATAAAAAAGAAAAAGCACCATGATGCAGTAGGATTTACGCGACCATGACATCTCTAAGGCCCCAACCTCCTCTCTGTTCTGACATCGCCCTTCAGACAGATGTAAATCGCCAGTGGTACTTTGGCTGTGCAGTCCCTTCAAGATAAACCTTCCTTGGTGTGTGGAGTGGACAAAATAACCTAATCCTACTGAAATTATGGGCATCAAAAAAGATTAAGGACACCAAAAAAGAAGCAGAAACCAAGATGATTTCCAATTTCAACCTTGATGTTGAGGGTCGAGATACCTGACAAGGATTTAAAACAAAGACGAAAAAGTAGGTGATCAATGAGCTAGATTTTCAATTATATCCAGAGCTTAAAACTATCAATCACCAACCAGATCCATGTGAAACATGGATGGTTAAGGGGTTTTTCCTAGACTAAGAAATGACACCCTAACTATTGGAAAAGGAACAGTATGTCTCCAGGGATACAAGTGAGACTTTGAAGAGATGGTATGTTCCTTTTTTCAGCTCATGTCAACTCAAACGCTGAAATCCAGGACTAAATTCTAGGCTTAGCTACATCAGGTCATCAGTTAAGGTGACAGTGCTTTCCAAGTCCTGAAAGGCTCACTTGCTTTTAGAGATGGATATCAGCAGGAGGATGATGCACCTTGCCACCCATCCAACCACCACCCCACTTAGCCTGGTAAAAAAATACACTCAATCAACCCACAAACACAGTCCATAACACAGTTGAGGGTAAGAGATATGAAGGAAAGCTATAATAAAGGTTTTCTAAAAGCACTTGCACTCACCTAAAACTTTCATATCCATCTCCAGGAATCTGAAAAAAAAAAATTCATCTAGAAACATTATTTAGGTGGACATTCACTTCTACATGGTTTAGAATTATAAGTTTCTACCCATAGCATTATTAAGTTAGCCAATTCTGCACTATTCATGAATGGTTTAAAATTTTTCGCTATATGATGTTTCATTATTTCAATTTTTAAAAAGTAGTATTTCAGATGAAAGAAAGCCTCTGTGAAACCATAAAAGACAAAGTCTCTAGCTATCACATGAGATTTGAAATAATGCAAATGTCAACTAAAAAAAAATTCAGATTAATATTTTAAATAATGAAACGAGGACACAACTATGTATTTTGTGGCAATTCTTGAAACACTTCTTTTCCACTAATTGAGAGCAAGGATCAAAATTTTGAGTAGATATTTCCAGGAAAAGTACATCAAGTAAATCTACAACCTCATTAAACGTGACTAATTTCAAATACTGAATTTGGCTGATCATACATACAAATCATCAAGATTTATATCTTATTCTGGATGAATTTCAAACATATCAGTATAACATTTCTATATTATGAATTACAAAAGAATTCATAACAATTCAATAGGCAATATGCAAGTTTATTTAAATAATTTAACACTGCACAGAATGCTAATTTAGAAGTATAAAAATAGATGGTTTAGCAACCAAATATAAAGCACCACACAGAAGCAGATTACACATACACCATCAGGCCTTTGGAAGATTAAGGCAACATTAATATCTCAAATAATTTTATGAGAACACTTTACTCATATGATAGATGTTACTAAAACATGTCAAAATAGAGAGTCCACAATTTTTTCAGTATGAAGTCTTCCCTTCCAGCTTTCTTGTCAATATATTAATGATTTTTCTTAAACACTGTACAACAATTAGTCTAGATTGACAAATGGGCTATCAAAGCCACTATCTTGTTGGCTAGATAGAGGAGCAATTAATTTTCTCGAAGGCTGCCGACACACATATGATGGTACTGTACTGCTCAGTTTTTTGAAATCTGGCTTTAATATATCAGCCTTATGATGAGGTGGGTGTCTGAGAGTCATACCGATCTCTGGCTGGGAACAAAGGGTTTCTTCTGACAGGTCTGAAGTGTGACCACTCTGACATTTCTTTGGTTGACAAATCATTTTATTTTTCTCTGTATCTGAAAGACAACTGGCTGCTGAAAACTGTTTGAAATTAACAGCTTCAGCTGGTATATCCAGAGTTTCTTGTGGTCTACCGTATAAAAATGACACTTCGTGACTGTTGCAGGGTAAAGTGGCACTGTTGGAATGCCAGCCTATGGGGTCATCCAGGTCCCCTCCATCCTTTACTAGAGTTTCCCGAACACCCAAACTTTGACTTTTCTCAGATGCAGCATTTTCACTTTCCATTAATGGATTACACTTACACACTTTTAAACCAAGTCTTTCATTAGGACCTCGAAAGGTTGTATGTGTGGATCCAGATTCAGAAAGACTAGGGGTATATCTAGGTGAGGGTTTATTTCCGAAGGATCCAAGAAAGGGGTATACGGCTGAATGCTGAAGTGATTCAGAGCCAATATCACTGAGGTCTTTCTTCTTGTGCAAACCAAAGCCTTTTTCACCTTCACAAGGCACAAACTCAGGAGAAACATTTTTTGGCGACATGTCTGGGTGTTTAAAATTGTTATCCCCAAGCTGGAAGGCTGAGTGTGACCCTTTGGAACCCATGTGCTTTGTGTCCCCATGCTCTGCGTCCTCTAATCGTCTTCGTAAGTTACAAGCAGCCCTTCTCTTAGGAACTTGGTCACACATACTTCTGGGGATAGTTTGTATACTGTTTGATTTGCTTTCAGTGTGACGTGATGTATTCTGAGTCACATCATTTCTTTTTGATTTTTCAACTCCAGTCAGCATCTCTGAAGTCAGAGGTAGTACTACTATATACAAAGGAACACAAAATTAGGGGAAAACAAAATTAGGAGAAAATTAACATTGAAAGAGGAGGGGAAAAAATTATGTTTTCATGTATTTCCAAAGAATGCATATATTTTAATCATTCTCAAAGAAAATACATCAAGGCTGGACATTTAAAAATATTATTTTACATATATCCATTCAATAAGGTTAAGCAATGTTGTTATTGAAATCTGACATTATTGTTATACATCTGATCTATTATTTTCTGCAACAGATATTGCATTTCAAGAGCCAACTGCAACGTTTCCAATTCTGTCTGATGAAGAAAATTTGCTAAAGAACCCCAGTGCCCAACGTCTACATAAGCAAGCACGCGCGCGCGCGGGCGCACGCGGAAACACACACACACACACACACACACACACACAGTAAAAGCTAAAACGGAGTTTCTGATTTAATCTACCTAAGACAAGGAATCTGATCAGAAGCAAAGCCGCCACATAGCATTAAATCAGAGAAATCATACCTCAGAGTAGTGTACCTTGGTCCCTAGATCATGAAAAGGGTTTGCTTTTATTAGGGACACTTTCACAGTTGCCCCAAATCTTTTACACCCAAGGTTCACATCACCATTCCCAAATTTACACAAATAATCTTTGAGCTTTTTAAAAGAATGTCTACCAATATCAGACTTGTGGATTCCTGAACAATCTCTGCTTCAAGCTTTCTAGAAGTTCAAAAGCCCCATTTCCCCATAGATATATTCAAAATCCCCCTGTGTGACTGGAAATTTATTGATTTTTTTCACATATTTCCATCAGCTTTTGCTTTATATATGCTAAAGCTATTTTATCATGAAGAGAAAGAACCCATTTATAGGTTCTTAGGAGTCTTCTTTACAATTAGCAACTTCACTTTAATCCCTTTCAAGTATAATTTGCTTAATATTGTATTTAACTTTATAATTTATCTAATATCAATGCTGCATTGCTTAGTATGTTATTCTCAATTCCTTCACTTCAAATTTTTGAATGTTCTCATAGAAATAACATATGCCTGGATTTTAAAAAAAATGGAAATTATGGTCTTTTAATAAGTGAGTTTAACCTATTTATGTTTAGTGTGATTGCTGATGTTTTGACCCTACAATAATTTTCTATTGACCCATGCTTTCTAGTTGTATTTTTCCTCTTTCGTGATTCTGTTAGATTGAAAACCTTTTCTTACAAAAATTTTCCCCTACTAGTTTGAGAGTTATATATTCTATTTCTCTATTAGCTAGCCATAAATCTTAATACACATACATAAACTTGTATTTTTCTAGCAATGGCTAGAGTTACCAGTAACTATATCCTTTCCTTGAAAATAGTAAACCTCTTAGGCATATTTGTTAGTTTCCTCTACAATATATTCTTACATTCTTTTGAGAATACTATACTTTGCTAACATTCTCAGGTCCTTTTATTTGTTCTATTACTTGTATCCATAGGTATAAGTTGTATTTATTTATTTATTTTTTGCTTTGTCTTATTTTGATTTTGGTGTCTTTTATCATGGTGCTGGCTTTCTATAGGTATTTGGTGATTCTTGGTTGAATGCTTATCTCATAGATATTCTGAGTATGGCATCAGCTTGTTTAAAAAAGTTGAGAGTGTTGTGAAAGGAACAAGCTGAAGGGTAGAAAAACCCAATAGCTGGTACTTTGGGCATGTGGGCTCTAAGTTCCTCCTTGGCATGATTAGCCATCTAGAGCCTTGCCCTATTCTGAGACTCTTTTTTCCTGTTGCTCTTACTCCAGCCCAATGGTGGGGGTAGGGGAAGGGAAAGCAGAAGGATTAATAAAGAGGGTGGCCCCACCTGGTTACTGCTGCTTGAGAACATCAACTAATTATAATTACCTCACTGGTATCCCCTAGGCTTACTACTTCTCCTGCAACATACTGCCTTCATATGTGGAACAGTTTTGATACTGCTCCTACTTATAGCTGTCATCTTCTGGCAGTTTTGAACTGTTTCCCTCTTCAGTCTTTCAGGGATTTCTCACAGCTTCTGGTCTATCAATTGTAACTTTTTATTTTTAAATTATTTATACATTGTTAAAAATTGAGGTGCACTTGCAATACAATGTTATATTAGTTTCAGGCATACAACACAGTGATTCAACAGTTCTAGTTCTATACACTGCTCACCGCAATAGTGTAATTACCATCTATCACCAAATAAGTTATTAAAATACTATTGACTATATTCCTCATGCTGTACTTTTCATCCCTGTGACTTGCCTCTTTTATAACTGGAAGTTTGTACCTTTTAATCTTCTTCATCAGTTTCACCCAGCCCCACCTCCTCCCCTCTGGCAACCACCAATTTGTTCTCTGTATTTATGAGACTGTTTCTGTTTTATGTGTTGTTTTTTAGATTCCACATATAAGTGAAATCATATGGTATTTGTCTGACTTTTTTCACTTAGCACAATACTTTCTAGATCCATCCATGTTGTCACAAATGGGAAGATTTCATTCTTTTTTTATGGCTGAGTAATATTTCTGTGTATGTGTGTGGGTGTCTGTGTACGAAATCTTCTTAGTCCATTCATCTAGTGATGGACAGTCAAGTTGCTTCCATGTCTTGGCTATTGTAAATAATGTTGCAATAAACATAGGGGTGCATATATTTTTTCGAATTAGTGTTTTTGTATTTTGGAGTAAATACCCAGTAGTGCAATTATTAGATCGTAAGGTAGTTATATTTTTAACTTTTTGAGGAACCTTTATACTGCCTTCCACAGTCGCCGCACCAGTTTGCATTCCCACCAACAGTGAGGGTCCCTTTTTCTCCACATCTTCACAATATTTGTTTCTTGTGTTTTTTATTTTAGCCATTCTGACAGGTGTGAGGTGATATCTCAGTGGACCTTTGATTGGCATTTCCCTGATGATGACTTACATTGAGCATCTTTTCACATGTCTCTTGGCCATCTATGACTTCTTTGTAGAAATGTCTGTTCATGTTTACTGCCCATTTTTTAGTTTTTGGATTATTTGTTCTGTGGGTGCTGAGTTGAAGTTCTCTCTCTATATATGAAGTTATTATATATATATAAACCCCTTATCAAATGTATCATTTGCAAATATGCTCTACCACTCAGGAGGTGGCCTTTTGGTTTGTTGATTGCTTCCTTTGCTGTGCAGAAACTTTTATTTTGCTGTAGTCCCAATAGTTTATTTTTGCTTTTGCTTTCCTTGGCTGAGAAGACATACTTAGAAAAAAGCTGCTCAGGCCAATGTACAAGATATTACTGCCTATGTTTTCTTTTTTTTTTTTTATGGTTTGAGGTCTTACAAATATTTAGGTCTTTAATACATTTTATTTTTATGTATGGTTTAAGAAAGTGATTCAGTTTCATTCTTTTGCATGTAGCTGGGGGGTTTTCCCATCATTAAAGAGACTGTCTTTTCCCCATTGTATATTCTTGCCTCCTTTGTTGTAGATTAATTGATCATATAATCATGAGTTTATTTCTGGACTCTCTATCCTGTTCCATCGATCTATGTATCTATTTTTGTGCCAGTACCACAGTTTGATTACTAGAACTTTGTCGTATAGCTTGAAATCTGGAATTGTGGTACCTCCAGTTTTGTTCTTCTTTCTCAAGATTGCTTCTGCTATTCATGGTCTTAGTGGTTCCATACAAATATTAGGGTTATTTATTCTATTTTTGTGAAAAATACTATCAACACTTTGATTGGGATTGCACTGAATCTGGAGACTGCTTTGGGTGATATGGGCATTTTAACAATATTAATTCTTCCAATCCATGAGCATGCTATATCTTCCCATTTGTTTACATCATTTTCAGTTTCTTTCATCAATGTCTTAAAGTTTTCAGAGGATAGGTCTTTCACCTCCGTCATTAAATTTATTCCTAGGTATTTCATTCTATTTGATGCAACTATAAATGGAATTATTTTATTTCTCTGATATTTTGTTATTAGTGTATATAAACACAACAGATTTCTGTATATTAATTTTATATCCTGCAACATTACTGAATTCATTTATTAACTATAGTCATTTTTAGGTGTTGTCTTTATGTATAGTATCATGTCATCTGCAAAAAATGAGTTTTGCTCCTTCCCTACCAATCTGGATTTTTTTTTTGTCTGCCTGCTGTTTCTAGGACTTCTAGTACTATGTTGAATAAAAGTGGTGAGAGTAGACATCTTTTTCTTGTTCCTGATATTAGAGGAAAAGCTTTCAGTTTTTCCCCATTGAGTATGATGTCAGCTGTGGGTTTATCATATATGGACTATATGTTGAGGTATAATCCCTCTAAACATCATGAACTGATGTTGAATTTTATCAAAAGCTTTTTCTCCATCTATTGTGATGATCATATGGTTTGTTGTCTTAATTTTGTTAATGTGGTGTATCATGTAGATTGATTTGTGGATAATGAACCATCCTTGCATGCCCAGAACAAATCCCACTTGATCATCGTGAATGATCCTTTTCATGTACTGTTGAATTTAGTTTGCTAATATTTTGTCAAGGATTTTTGCATCTATATTCATCAGAGATTTGGCCTGTAGTTTTCTTTTTTTTATAGTATCTTTTTCTAGGTTGGTGTCAGGGTAGTACTGACCTCATAGAAATGAATTTAGAAGTTTTCCTTCCTCTTGTATTTTTTGGAATAGCTTGAGAACAGGCATTAAGTCTCCTTCAAGTGTTTAGTAGCATTCATCTGTGAATACGTCTGGCTCTGGACTTGTGTTTGTTGGAAGCTTTGTAATTACTAATTCAATTTCATTTCTAGTAATTGGTCTGTTCAGATTTTCTATTTTTTTCCTGACTCAGTCTCAGAAGATTGTATATTTTGAGAAATGTATCCCTTTCTTGTAGGTTGTCCAATTCATTGTTAGCACATAGTCTTTTGTAGCAGTCTCTTACAATCCTCTGTATTTTTGTGGTGTCAATTGTTACTTTTCTTTCATTTCTAATTTTATTTGAGTCCTATCTCTTTTTTTCTTGAGGAGTCTGGGTAAAGGCTTATCAGTTTTGTTTATCTTTTTAAAAAGCCAACTCTTGCTTTTGTTGACCTTTCCTACTATTTTTTTTAAATCTCCATTTCATTTATTTCTGCTCTGATCTTTATTATTCCCTCTCTTCTACTAACTTGTTTAAAATCTATCCTGTCATTTCTAGGAATGAAAGCAACTATAGGAAGCTGATGGGTATGCTCAGTCTGCCTATTCAAACTGAAAACTCTATGCTCTTTTTTGTAAGTTTCCAGTTTAAGTAAAACACAGACACAACTTTATAAATTAACTCTCACTCCTTACATTCCTTCTTTTTCATACTAAAAATATTAAATATTTAAGAGAGAAGGGAGAAAAAAACCCTTTTAGTGACTCATTTTGACATACCTGACTGTGTAGTTTTGCTCTGGGATTTATTAGAAATCGGCGTTTCCAGCAATTTTGCCATTGTAGCAAGTTTGCTAGCAGCATTCATAATCTTTTTCTCAGCCCTGTGGGGAATTCCAGAATATTAAATTAATAATAGTTTAAAGGAAAAAATGAGTTTCCTTAGCCCAAGGATTTCTGTTTTCCTATTAGTTCTGCCAATATTTAGGGTAGTACAGACATAAGCCTCTCTTAACCCCTAATGGCCAATCATGTAGAAATAGTTAATTTTGTGGTTAAGGAAAATGTTTAGAAAATGACAACATGCTGTCCTGGTAGTCTCAGGACACACTGTTTGTTTAGATTGAACTTACCCTTCCTGTTTTCCATTATCCTGCAAAATCTGTTGGAGGCAAGTCAAGTAATATTTGCGCATCTTTCGGGCGGTTTCTTGACGTTCTCGCAATACCTCTGCTTTTACCATTTCCGCAGCTCTTTCCTTACTCTCCTGAATATAACGAAGCATATCACCTAGTGGGGAGGTGAGGGAAGGAGTTGGTAGGGAGACAGGAATTCCCACAAAATGCATGTTTACTACCAGTTTTTCAAAAACAGGGGAGGCAGACTTCAGATCAATTTTCTGGGAGATGAAGTGACTAGAGGTATAGTTTAAACATTGCACTTTTCCACAATCATTAAAATGGAATGCTTCAGATCACTATTTTAGGAGACTCAAAGGAGAAATAATCTAAAAGTCCTTTTAGAATGATGATAGCCACATATGTTAAGGAAACAGCATAATCCCTAGGAAAACACTGTCATATTCTAAAACACTGAGGCAAGAAAATAAATACGATACAGAAACTTACACATTTTGATTATGTATTGTCTGAGTAAGAGAGGAGAAAAAAATATACCTAAAGGGTGAGGATGAAAGGAAAAAAGAACCAGACACAGAAAGATAGAAGGAGGCAATATGAACTAGAGAGACTCATATTCCCATTTACTCATGCTCTGAAAATCCATGTTTCATTATTTATTCCATTCTTTCAGCAGCACTTATGCGTACCCAAGTAAATATAATATTATAATCCATGAGAGATATGTACAAAATGCCAGGGAGAAGGATAAGACCTATGTTGCCTTCTGAAATATACATTTAAAACTAGTGCACAGGGAAGCCTGGGTGGCTCAGTCGGTTAGGCGGCTGCCTTCAGCTCAGGTCATGATCCCAGGGTCCTGGGATCGAGCCCCGCATCGGGCTCCCTGCTCCACGGGAAGCCTGCTTCTCCCTCTGCCTGCCGCTACCCCGTGCCTGTGCACTCTCTCTCTCTCTCTGACAAAAAAATAAATAAAATCTTTAAATCAATCAATCAATCAATCAAAAATAGTTCACTGCTTTCAAGTTTTCTTTTTATCTTTGATTCAACATGATTGGATTGAGACTACCATTACTTAAGGTCAACGTTTTTTTTACTAAATCTAGGGCTACATCCTACCTCTAGAATATCACTACTCTGTTATATTAAAGATTCAATTCATAAAGGAATCTCCCTTAATATCAGTAAGCTCTTCCTGAAAATTAAATGCTCTGTGCAAAAAATACTAACTGAAAGACTATTTCTCATTATTTGAAGTGGTATAAATTAAATTGGAATACGTGTCAACACAAAACCTCCAGCCAATGTCTAAAATGTTAAACAAAACACACACATACAAGTTAGCATATGAGTATGAAAAAAATGCTTAAAATTTCACTTCCCAACTGATGTGATTGTTAACAAAAAGTTGCTTTGTTTGTTTTGTAGTAATATGGACACTGTTGGCACCAGCAACAACTGAAAAGTAAATTGTCTTTATTGATACTGAGTGGGTTTTTCAGAACACTACATAGGATTATGATGATCTAACAAATACATCTGGAACTTAAGACCTTTTCCCACTCATTTTGTTAAAAATAAAAGCAATTTTAAGAGGTAAACATACATTTCTCCTGTATCAGCACTAGTTATTGTTCTGGGACATACATACAATCTAAGCAATATTATAATTAAAAAACAGGAGATAGTCTACTGAGAAAACATAAACCAGAGAAATGCTCTGCAAGGTATGCCTCTTACTGCAAAGGACTTGATAAACAAATTTACACGTATGACTTAATCCATTATCGAAATAATGAGAAAGAACAGAATAATGCCTAGCTAGATCTATTTTCTATGGTCTTTAAAAGCTTATGGTAGAGGGATGCCTGGGTGGCTCAGTCAGTTAAGCAGCTGCCTTCAGCTCAGGGCATGATCCCAGGGTCCTGGGATCAAGTCCCACATCAGGCTCCTTTCTCAGTGGAGAGCCTGCTTCTCCCTCCGCCTGCCACTCCCCCTGCTTGTGCTCACTCTCTCTCTCTCTGACAAATAAAATCTTTAAAAATAAATAAAATAAAAGCTTATGGTAGAAAGTAATACTTGCTAATTTAAAACTCACATGACTTTTTTTTAGTTATTTAAGTTTTAAGATTATGAAATTTTTAGTTTAACATTAGTGCCCAAAAAAGAAACAGGATAATTAACAATATAAAATAGCTCTACCCTCATGTCACTTCCAAAAGATATTGGGCAAAAAAATCCATTGCTGCATAATTTAGAAAAGGGGCCACTAATTTCTTCTAAAAAGCAGATAAGATCTCAGAACAAGTAGTTTGAAAAATTCCCCCAAATTACTAGTGCTAGTAATAAAAAAGGCTCAAACCACCTTAAAATCCTGGAACTCTCCTCAGAGACTTACGCTTAATTTTTTTTACAGCTTTAATGTACTGTCCACGAAGTTCTTCCAAGGCCCTCCCATTGCATAGCAGGCAAGCATTTTCAATGGCCCCTTCTGACAATGACCTAAAAATGAACCAAATATTGGAAACAGAGATTGTTAAGTAAAAATATCTAGCTATCTATATATTCCAATAACATCCAACTGAGATGTGCTAAAAAAAAAAAAAAAAAAATCATATATCAGGATCTTTACTATATAGTTTTTTAAAAAAGAAGAAAAATAGAAACAAATGTTATGGTTACTTAAATAAATCATGATAAATCCACATGATGAAAATATATGCAGCTACTGAAAAGCACATTATAGAATATCTAATGACATATGGAAATGTTTATTTTATAACATTATATTAATAAAAGCTTATAAAATAGCTTACATGATAACCCCAGTTTTTAAAACATGCACATGTGAGTATAAAGGGGCTTAAATGATATAAAACAAGAGGTTAACAGAGGGTATCTACTAGGAATAGGGTTTTGGAAGATTTTCTTTTTTTATACTTCTTGCTATATAACAAGTTTTATACTCTTGGTATGAATATTATTGCTATAATTGATATTACAAAATAAAAAAAATACTTAGAAATAAACAATTTCTTTAAAATAGTAAAAGTTGGGGCACCTGAGTGGCTCCGTTGGTTAAGCAACCAAACTCTTGATTTTCGGCTCAGGTCATGATCTTGGGGTTGTGACATCAAGCCCTGAGTGGGGCTTTGTGCTGGGTGTGGAGGCTGCTTGAGATTCTCTCTCTCCCTCCCCCTCTGCCCACCCCCCAATGCCCCGCTCACACTTGTTCTCTCTCTCAAAAAAAATAAAAATAAAAATAAATTTAAAAATAAAAATAAAATAGTAAAAGTCTACCTTGGTGGTGTTTTACAAAGTGTTCTCAGTTCTTCCAATTTACTCTTCACGTCATTGTTTTCTTCTATTAATTCTTCAACAACTTTAGTATTCTCTTCTAAAAAAAAAATTAATGGTATATTGGTCAATTAATCTGTTTTTTACCCCTCAGTCTTCCTCTCCCCAAAATTCCCAGTGCAAATGTTTATAGAGGAGATTGTGCAAATGGCAGTTGCTCCCTGTGTCATTCGTTTCCTGATGAGTCCTAATCTGACCACTCCCTGTTCTGGTTTTTCAGCACTTAAAAACTGTATTACATCCACATCTTGCTTTGGGTTACACACTGCCCTGGAATAGGCTTCCAACTGTTTCACATGCATCTATTTTTTCCCAGCTAGACTGAAGCTCTGTTGAAACATACTGGGTCTTCTATTTTCATGTTCCTCCTGGATCCTGGTACAGTCTATGCTCATATATACGATCATTGAACAAGCACTGCTATACAAAATAAAAAGAAAATTAAGATTAAGTAGGTACCACTTTCACAATTAATGTAAGATTTTCAATTCTTTGAACTTCTGAAAAGAGGATGAGGAGACTAATGGCGTCCATATGGAATGGAGGACAAAGCATGAATTTCAGAGTGAGAGAGACATGGGTTTAAGTCCTAGCTCTGCTTCTTTACCAGTTAAATGAGCTTAGGCAAATTACTTACGCTTTCTGAACCTGAGTTTTTTCATATGTTAAATGGAGATAGTATTACTTACCTTTAAGATAATAGAAGTAAAATCATAAGTGCACAGTGCCTGATACAAAGTCTGGCAATACCAGTGTTTAATAACTATGAACAGGACACACCGTCTTTCCTACCACGCCACCCTCTCAACACACCCTGTAAGTTGAGTAATGAGCCACTCTATTCCTCCTAGACATAACTTGTATATTTTTAAATCACTCACTCTTACTCCACCACTTTTCAACAAATGCTACCAGCACAGTAGAAAACGGAATTTAACAAAAAAGCAACCATAATAGCAAAAACATTATCAACTAAGAGATGTACGTTAAGACAAACACTGAAATCAAACTATCAAATGACTTAATTCTGACCCCGATCCCTTTTATCAGCCTGTTGTTTTGAGCTAAGTACCAACTTCTTGGATTCTTTCTAAGTCTTTGAATTACAGAAGGTAGCCTCAAAAAGCACCATGCAGAATAACTATGATCACAATGTATGGTGTTAAATATTACTTATAAATAATAATCTTATCTCGCTGCCGTTGTCATTTTATATGTAAAACAAATATTCTTGATTTCCATCAAATTACTCAAGAGCTACAAATAGCTCATTTACTCTTCTGGCTTCTACCGAAGAGCGAAGCCATCACCATGGGCATTACAGTTGTTCAAATTTTTACCTCAAAATTCTTAAAATCCTGTCTTGCCTTAGAATAATGATTATCTATCTCTAACAGACTTGTTAAGCAGTATAGGTGGGAGTGAAGCAGGTGGTTCCTCTTAGTTAACAGTATTTACTGAGCGTGCTTTGTGGCCAGGTACTGTGCACTAAGCGCTCGGTCAGGACTTGATCCTTGTCATCATCAAGGCTACACTCCAAAGGACAATACAGACAAAAATTAATTACAAGGATGATATGATAAACGTTAGAAAAATCATTAGAGCTGTGGGTAATGTCTAACAGAAGAAACTAACCAAGTCTGGGGTGGTTAGGAAAGCTTCCCTACGGAAGCAATGCACCGGAAGAGGGAGGAGTAGGAGTTAACCAGGCAATGTGATCAGGATGAGAAGAAGATGTTTTGGTAAATGGAGATGAAAACAGACAAGAGAAAAGTGACAATGAAATCCATGCTCTGGCCCTATGAGAGAATAAAAGGGCTGGGGCAAGACAAGGCTAAGGGGCTGGCAGATGCTGCATCATGAAAGGCTTCTTAGATGATGTTAGATAAAGTGTCTGCATTTCCTACTGAGGGCCAGCTAAGCCACAGGACTTTAAACAAGAGAGTGTCATGATCCAATTTACTTTTTTAAAAGGTCACTGGAGCTGCCTGATGGGGAAAGCCTTGGAGGGACAAGATTGGAAGCAGAAAGAGCCAGGAGGTGACTGCTGTCCAGGCAAGCAATCGAGTTAAAATGTAGAAAAAAAGTGAACCTATCTGTTTTTTTCTGGATCACACAATTATTTGGGACCCTTGCATTCAACCCTTCATTCAGTCAAAAAAGGGCATCATGACTACAATGATGAACAAGATAAGACATATTCCTCATTCTCAGGGAATGTATCGGTTGGAAAGGGTATCAGGCAAGTAACCAAAAAATTAAATACAGAATGGTAAAAGAGTAGGAACCAAGAGTGCTATGGGGCCACACAGAAGTGGCCTGAATAACCCAGACGGGAAAATCAAGGAGGGATCTGCAGATAAGGCATCTTTCTCAGTTGAACCCGAAAGGTGAGGAAGAGTTAGGCCAAATGAGAATGAAAGGATAAGGTGTAGGGCAGAGTGACAAAACTGTATGCAAGGTCCAGCAGTACAATTCCTGACCAGCTCAGCAATCTGAGTATTTCAAATGCACACAGTAGAGAGCACAGGAAATAAGTGACTAGTAAAAGGAAAGAGGGAGCGGCCTCAGAAGCCCAGTAGCCTCCCTGGTGCAGAAGGGCAAGAGAAGATAGCAGAAGCTATCCCTTCCAGATAATCTCCCTGACAGCACGGTGAAGAATGGACTGGAAGGATGCCAGACCAGGCCCATATGTCTTCGTGCACAGCTTTCCCCTCTGCCTAGAATGCTGTCCTCTTTGGCAAATACCTTCATCTTTCAAGGCTTAGTCAAGCCCTCCTTAACTCAGATAGGAGGAAGAGTTCACTCACATCCTTTCTGCCAAGTGTACACGAGCATACTACCAGGAGCACTCAGTGCTACAACTATTTATTAATCTGTTTTTAGGTCTCTTCATTTGATGATAAGCTTCTTGGAAAAAAGGAAACAGAGTCTTGCACATCTACTGCAGAACCGGAATTCCGTCTAATGTCTTCACTGCTGTGTCCCTAGTGCCTAGAACACTGCCTGACACATACTGGGCACTATCTATTTAATCCAAAAAGGAAGAAGGGAATGTGACCGTTTAATCAGAGCTCCAGTTTTCCTCTTTGTAGTTCAGGAATAATAATTTGGTCAGTAAAAATAAGGTCCAAATTAGTTTACGTTAATCCTCGAAGAGAATCGGTGCCTACATTAACTAAAATGTCACATCTGAACATTTCAAGGATCAAAGAGATTTATACCGGTAGTAGTGCTACTTTAAATGCTAACCTCCAATTTTTTCCACTACAGCTTTGTGCTTTCTTTCTAAATGCTGAAGATGCCTACAGCATTTCTCCAGTTTTCTTTCCAGATCTTGACATTCCTGCTTTGCCTTTTCAAGTTCTTGGAAGCAGTGTCCACAGGATGAATCTTTAATTTCAAGGATCTTTTTCTTATCTGCAAAAATTAAATGATAGCAAACCTTTATATCAATTTAGACTACAAACTAAAAAAGGAAGGAGGAATGGAGGAAACCAGGTGACATGACTAAAGAAAGTCAACAGTGCAACTGAAAAGAATGTGATGCTTATGAGAGAGAGAGAGATCGGAGTTTAAATCTTCTTTATACTATTTATTGGCAGTGTCGCTCAGAGTATATTATATAACCTGAGACTTAGTTCTTTACTATGTAAAATTAAATAATACCATCCATTTAAAAAATTGCTATGAAACATGATGTTCAGCTCTTAGTATTGAATACCATTCCCCACTAAAAGGAACAAAGGATCTTCAAGAAATGGCTAAGTCCAGTACTGGAACAGGGTGTTTACAAGATGAATGCCAGAAAGAAATTCCTGAAAAATACAGGAACATCACAAGGACAAAGGAGCCAGTTTGAAAGGGCTCCAGTAGCTGAATATGGGGCAATTTGAACACGAAGTTTACTAATGAATTATAATATTAAAAAAAAAAAAAGAGGAATTCATGAGCCATACCAATAATCCTACCCATAATGGAATGGATGGATAGATGGGTAAGTAGGTTAAGTTGATAGGTAAATAGGTAGATGGATTGACGGACAGATTTATAAATAAACAAAACAATAAACAAATGAGTACACAAAATAACAGGAGGATTCATGATTATAACAACATGCCAAGTGTCAACTGGTAAAAGTAGAGGGAAGTCTAGAGCAAAAAAATTATAATTTTGCAACCACCATGGTAAAGACTGAATTAGACAAACATCATCAATGATTGCTAAATATAAGGGAAATGTTTAATGAGAAGGACATTTTCATGGTCTTAGAAGTGTCTCCCCACAGACTGCTTATTAGTTGTGAGGTGGGAGGAAACCACTGAAGAAAATGGACAACGCCGTGACCAAGTGCTCAAATGAACTTCACCAATAAAAGACAAATGGACACTGTGCACCTCCACATGTGACAAAGACATCACCTATGCAGTGTTCCAGCCAAGGAAATGCAACCTGAATCTCATTATGAAGAAACACCAGACAAACTCAAAATGAGGGAAGTTCTACCGAAAGCTGGAGGTGGGGTGGAGTGGTGGGGAGAGGGGAGAGTAAGCCTTTCGAAAATGTCAATGTCATAAAAGTCAAAAAGAGGCTATGGAAATATTCTAGACTAAAGGAGACTAAAGACACATGACATTTAAAGGTACTACCTGAGCCTGGACAGATTCCTGTACTGTGGGGGGGAAAAATAATGAAAGACATTATTGGGTCAATTGACAAAATTAGAATACAAACAGGTTGACACAGTATTTTCATCAAATGTTTAATTTACTATACCAAGGTTATAAAAGAAAAAATTCCTATGTTTTGAAAATACACACTGAAGTATTTAGGGGTAAAAGGGCACAATGTATATAACATCCTCAAATGGTTCAGGAAAGAAAATGACATGTTCACATACACATACACACAGAAGAGCATAAAACTGTATACAATGTTATCAACAAATGTATCTAGGTAAAGGACAGATGAGTGTTACTTGCAACTATTTTTACTTTTGTAACTTTTCTGTAAGTTTGAAATTGTCTCCAAATGAAAAAAACATTTAAAACTATCAGGAGGTACAAATGTATAAAATATGTGTGGCACAGTACCTGGCAGAGAGCAGCATACGATAAATAACAGCTACTGCTATTAGTAATACGGAATTCGTAAAATTTAAATAATATCAAAAGTGATACAAAAAATAGGTGATTACTATTAATATAATTGATAAAATAAAGTGGGGACACAAATTGGCACAGGCTCAAAAGCCAGTCCCCAAAAATTTGATGTAAAATCATTGGTTCAGCAGAATTATTCTAAGCTCTTTCCTGACTTTAGTTTCCTCTGAATGGCGCCATTTTATGTCCATGGGCATCAAAGAATTAATGAAGCATCACACTGGTATCATACATGGTATTTATATTTTTCATTTAGGACACTGTTGTAAAACTAGAAACCAGGCAAATGTCCATTGCCAAGAGAATAAATTATAGTATATTCATAGAATGGAACACTACACAGCAATTAGAGCTACATGCATTAACACAGACAAATATCAGTGGAAAAAAGCAAGTTACAAAGACTACGATGAATATTACATTACATTTTTATAATATTAGGAGACAAAACAGCAGCTTTTTCAGGATACCTGTATTTGGTCAAAACATAAAGAAAAGCAAGAGAATAATTTTTAAAAATCAGAATATTTGTTACCTTGGATTGTAAGGAAGTTATAGGGATGGGACTGTGGTCAAACACACAGGGGTCTTCAACAGTCCTGGTGACGCTCTAGGTCTTAAGTCAAAGAGTGGGCTCCTGGGTGGTAGGCTTCATAACTTACATGTGCATCACATATTGTCTTTGCATGTATCAAGAATCTCATAATCATTTAACTTACTTTAAAAAATGGTAAGATATTAGAAGACTATAATCAAATAGTTAACAATGGTACTCTCTGGTGGTAATATTCTAAAGGACTACAGCACTTAATATATATTTTGGATTATTTAATCCTTCCTAATGAATTGGTTAATGTGTTTGTTTTTAGGGAAAAAAGACTGAAGAAAGAAAAATCCTTTTGTAGTCTGATTTGTCTTAAGTAAAAACAAATTCCTTTCATATTGATAGGACTTCCCAAAGCCAAATAATACCTAAAACTTGTTGCTACCCACTTCATAAATTAAAAAAAAAAAAAAATCTCTGGTTATTCTAAATAAAAACAACTGATATACAATGACAGTGAAAAATAAGAAACAAAATACAAATTAAGGTAGTATTCCTAAACACCTAATGAACAATAAGAGCTTCTCAACCACCTAGAATCTAGAAGTGAGGAAGAAGGGCCTATGGATGATCAGGAATAGTCAACTGACTTCTTAGGAAAGGCAGAGATTCTCTAAAATTCTGGTAATATTACTTACTAAATTAGAAATTGTGGAAACTAAGATTATTAACCTAGTACATTTGAGTTGTTCTGGCAATTCAAAGTTCTTTCCCAGGTTGCAACAGACACAGCAGAGAAGAAACAGAAAGATTGGGTATGTGTTTGTATGTGGAGGGAAGGAGCAGGCTGTGAGAGATCAGTATCTTAAAAAGGATTGGAGCTAATAAAGGATATGTCAGTTCTTGGTTCAGAATTCTCAATGACTAGGCAATAGAAGCCCAGTCAATATTCTTCAGTGAGCTCTGAATACATCAAGGGGCTTCAGTACAATACAATAATTCTTTTTCATAATAACAACTGTAAGTTATTATGGGAACATTAAGCTATTAATTTACCAAATATTCAAGGAACACAAACTATGTGCCATTCACACTCTGCCATGTATCGGAGAGGAAGAGATAAAACACTGCTCCTGCCCTCAAGAAACTCACAAATCTGAGAACATTTCATCAGAAAGATTTCCATTAAAAAATGGTTGAAATAAGCTTCAATAAGATGAACAAAAAGGTCCCAGTTATTTGGCAATTCTTTTATGCGAAACTCGCGATTTCTCAATAAAGCCAGGGAATAAAAATATGACTGTTCTATTAAAATTCTCATTATTCTCCTTATAATAAGACCTACTTATGAGTGGAGGGAAGACCATGAAAGGATAGAATTAAGAGGGTCTAAAGTATCCCCATCTCCTAAATGCAAAATGAAATCTAGGGAGAAGACACAGATTAGGTAGGAGTAATATTACCCACTCATTCACTCATAAAAGCTGCACACATCTTTGACTTCCTTTTATCCTCAGAGCAACCCTCTGCAACTGTGAGTACAGACGTAACAAAGATCAGTAGGAATAAAATCCCATTACCAGCTTCTGCTTCTGTTTTTTGCAAGGCCAAGGCCTGAGCACAGCATCCAAAAGTAGGTGCAGGATGGACTGCCAGGACTCCAGGGTCTCCTCTGCCAGTGACCTCTGTGGCTGGATCCTTAGAGATCTTGGCCATATTTCTCTGAAAGAGAGTATCTGCATAGTTAATGCCATGTAAAAATCTTTACACAATTCTCCATTTAAAATGCTCGTATTAAAAACATAAAAAGAAAACACTGCCTGAAAAAAATCTTGCTTAAACCATCACCAGTATTTTTCTTAGGGTGTTACATGAATACTGTCATTACTCTGAACTAGTCTACAATGACCGTGATTTTCGAATTAGAACATTATCTGACAGAGGTCTGGTGGGCCAACTATGAGACAGATAAGAGTTACAGTTTGCACACATATATATGAATTTAAGATATTTTAATGGCTTATGTGGTCAAATCACAGGACATACTATGTGAAATCACAATTGTTCTTGAAAATCCAGAACATTTTTACTGCAGCAGAGGTCAAACTCAGAAACTATAACTATCAAACTTTTGTCTTCCACAAATTAAAAATTACATTTATACAGTATGTTACATTTATAAATACTTTCATATATACTGTCATTTTATAAGGAAGTTCAGTTGAATTCCAAAGTTAGAGAGAGAAACTGAAGCTAACCTAAACATCTTGCACAAGACTATTTCTTCACTAACATTTACTGAACACTTTCGGTATTCTATCCCTGTTCCGGCAATACAGCTACTAAATTCATTAATGGTGAGGCATCCTTTTAAGGTAGTGTTTTCAGATTCTTTTTTTTTAATTTTTTTAAATTATTCATTTCAGAGAGACAGAGATAGTGAGAGAGAGAGCACGAGCAGGGAGGAGAGGGAGAAGCAGGCTCCCCATGGAGCAGGGAGCCTGATGCGGGACTCGATCCCAGGACCCCGGGATCTCGACCCAAGCTGAAGGCAGACACTCAACTGACTGAGCCACCCAGGCGGCTGTGTTTTCAGATTCTAGACAACTACCAAATCCCAAAGGAACAGAACAGGTGATCTTGAAAAAGTTGCCTTGTTTAATTACTTAAAACCCACATATCAGCTTGATTCTAGAAGCCTTGATTTTGATTATAAGAAACTCTTAACTGGCTATTGGAAAACCTACTTACAATGTGCATCAGAAGCAGAAGTCAGCAGTTATAAAGAAAATGGAAACTCCAGGCAATCAAGGGGATATGAGGCTGAGGCCAAAGGGAGTAATAAAAGTTGAACTCTAAGGTAGCCAAGGTTTCCAGTTGCTACTTAAAACTGGAGAAAAGCCAAGATGACAAGAAAAGCAAGAGCAACAACCTTCTTGTCTTAGTTTTAACTTGACTTTGGTGGTAAGAAAAGACAGAACATGCATCCTTAAATTTGTTCGAAAATTCTGCTCCCATTGATATTTTTGTTTTCTTTTTTCCATCATGACCTGTTGTATTAATGTATTCCAATAAGGCATTCATTTTCATGGAAACTACATTTTCAATTGATTGTATCCTGTCCATTTTTAAAAATTTTTGATCTAAGGTATTTTAATGAGGACTTGTTTTATATATACTGATCATTTTTTTCCTGCTTTAATTTTTATAAACAGTTCTAAAAAGGACAAATTTAATCAATTATAATTCATAGTTCTTCATATTTATGGCACCTATATTGCAAACTTATAATCACTGGTTACAATCATTGCTTTACCTCAAGGTCCTGAGCTGGGATTGTTCAAACAGCAGAAGATCAAGTATTCTTCTATGACAAATGCCAGAGTAGGCATTTCAAAGCCACCCTTTTCTCAGGAATAGAATCTAATCCCACCCAACAAAAGCCATAAAAGTCTAAGTTCTTAGCCAAATTATTTGATTCTGTCTCCACAGACATGTGAGCTACATTAAGTCATCCAGATGATCTCAACACTGCTAGCACAATCAGAAACCCTACACAGAGACCCCAGGATTGAGTATATATTAATAGAAGAAAGGTGTTACATTTTCCTGATTTTTGTAGTAGAGATTGCCTTTTCAGGAAAGTAAACGTGAAAGCATATAACATGATTTTCCCATGTTTCCCATGTTTCCCATCACTGCTCATGCTTAAAACTCACTATAAATAATTCTTAATTATTTTTTCCAAAAATTTTCAATTAAGTATTACAAGCATCATTCATGGGAAGTGATCCTGCCCAGTTGTTTTTACATTGAAAACAACTCTTAACTGATTGCTTTCACATCTTTTGAAATCGGAATAATGGTATCAACTGGGGTGAACTGGGATGGGCTAGACTGATCTTTCAGGTAACTTTTGGATCTAAAATTCTGTACTATCTCAAACACAGGAGGGAGAAAGGCCAAGCTGTGTCATTCATATCCTACAAAACCCAAGGAATTAGGCGAGAGATTTGTACTTTCTTTTTCAGATAAGCAATTATAATACATGACTACACAGGTAACAGACTAGTTATCCTCAAGCGTGGGACTGGAACTCAGATTTTTTTTTACCAGCTCGTAAATTTCCAATAAGTATTAATACCAAATGTTCAATCCTGGCCTTGAAAATCGTTAATCATGATATCTTAATGAAACTTAACTCTTATGTCTCTTCTCAAACCTTGTAATATTGGCATTTTCTTTTCTACCTCTAATTCCAAATGTTGAAATTGGCTGATCACAATGCCTACATATCATTCTGGATTTTTCACGCATATCTCATTTCTTCAATCTTCCACCAAAACTAAAAGCTGGTGTCAGAGACTATTCAGACAACTAAAAGAATACCATTAACTCATTCTACATGCACAGATATATATAGTAGACCAACAAAACTGGGCTTCAGAGTTTTGTTTGAGTGAGCCATACTTCTATTTGCTTGTTCTACAACAATATTTTTTGCACTTGGTTGGCATTTTTTGCCTTTGTGAGATAAATTCCTTGAGGGCAAGAAATAGGCTTCCAAACTCTTTAGAAGCTCTTAAGAAACCCTAGTTTAATACGATGCATATTTCTTGAAGTGGTCATGCCCAAAAAACAAAAATAGGAATGAGAGTTATTCAGTTTCTCAAAGCTCAGGCCCTTACAAAGAACAGCGTATATTTTTTAGGAAAAAGAGGTCTAGAGCCTAAAAGCTCTGCCTCATATTTGTGGCACCATGAAGAAGCAAAGTTTTTTTGGCAAAAAGAAATGAAATCCTTTGGATTCACTACAAAAAGTTGTTAAACCACTGGTAAAAACTCAAGTTTTACGTCTATTAAACTGTAAAATGAAGAAAGGAAAAATGACCTTATGCGACTTCTACAATCATCTTTGATGTTTATTAATAGTGCGTTTCACTTATCAGGAACATACCTTTTCCAACTCGGAGTTGGCATTTTCTATAGCTAGGGAGAGGATATCTTGAAAGGCTTTCTGTATGCAGGCCTTTAGTTTTTCAAAATATTGGGCAGACACCCATTTTGAAGAACAAGATGACACGAGTTCTAAGAGCTGCTTGTTCTCTGAACCACTGACATGTTCCTTGTGGGTGTCCTTCAAGAGAAATTCAAGTACAGTGAGGATGTCTTCCTCATACTGATAGATTTCCAGTTGGATCCGCCTGGCTTCCTGCGTAGCCCATTCTCTACGACTCTGGTCTAGACATGTTTGCAATTCTGTCTCCTTCTGAAGAAGTAGTTCAGTTTTTTGTTTCACAAAGTCTTCTTTAGCTGCCGCAAGCACCTCATTAATTTTATTTCGGTGATCATCTAAAAATTGCCGGTAATCTTGCTCATTTTGTTCTTGAATTCTGTGGATTTCTTCTTGCTTTTCTTTGTTCCATTCATTCCGGGCCTTCGCCAGCTCAGCCCTGACAACCACAGGGACTTCCTCGTTCTTTAACTCAAGCTCTCTCTGAAGAGAATAAATCTTCTCTTCCAATTCTTTTCCAGGTATTCCATTTTTCTTCATATTTTCAAGCTCGCTTTTCCATTTCTCTTTAGCTTCAGAAATAGCAAATGATATCTAAAAGACGTAACAATGTACATTTAAAATTCTTTATGATCTCATTAATTAAAAAATTAAACTAAAGTAACTATTTGGGATAAGACACTGGTACTACAATATATTCATACTATACTCAAAGATCCTTTCCTTAATTTATTTTTTTAAAGACTTCATTTATTTATTTGAGAAAGAACGAGCAGGGGGAGGGACAGATGGAGAGGGAGAAGCAGACTCCCTGCTGAGCAGAGAGCCCAATGTGGGGCTCTATCCCAGGACCCTGAGATCATGACCCGAGCCCAAGGCAGATGCTAAATGGACTGAGCCACCCAGGTGCCCCCCTTTCTTTCATTTTAAATGACCTAATATTTTATGTCCTATGTTATTAAAAAAATACCAGTTTTTACAAAAAAAAAAAAATTAAAAATTAAAAAAAAAATAAAAAACACCAGTTTCTTGAAGAACTAGAAATTTAAACTGACCCCCAAAATATGTAACTATACAGTTACCCAAAATTACCTTCGAAAAAAATTCATATTAGTTTTACACAGATGTAGCCTCAAATTTTACCCAAGCCCACGACAAATGAAGTATCTTTTACATGAAGCAAAAGCAGCCTCATAAAGAAATCTTACTATTACTTAGAAATATAACACACACCTGCACAACTTGCTGACAAACATAATTGCATTTTACTGGAAGCACAGTGGTTAGCACAGTTCATTAAATGATAATACCAAACAGAAAAAGTCATTTTCTCATTAATCTAATTTTCTTTTATGACAGAACAACAAGGCTGGCAGATCACAGACAGTAATAGTACATAACCAAAAGGCCCCAGGGAACCAAAAAACCGAGGCTTAGCTCTAACCCCACCTTTGACTGCTGAGGCAGCCTTGCACAGTGCTTAACAGAGCAGGCTCTGGGGACAAACTCCTGCAGTAAACCGACCAGCTCTGGGACCACACGCCCATTCCTCAATTTCTTTGAGCCTCAGGGTCCTCAGCTATAAAATGGGGACAATTATAATGCTTACCCGATAGAATTTTGTTAGGAATAAATGACAAACGAAAAAAAAATCCATTTAAAGCACTTAGTCCAGAGCCTGGCAGATAAGGACTCAATACATGTTATGTAGTTATTACTTTTGGCTGTATGGCCTTAGAAAAGTCACTTAATCTCTTTTGTACTTAGTGTCTTCATCTACATAAGGTGCAAATTAGATAATGACCTTGAGTCTCTTTTATAAATTCAAAAAAGTCACAAGGATATAAGTGTTAAAACAAGCGGGCATCTCCAAAAGCTTGGCCTGGACAGTGGTGATTGCTAGTAATCAATACTATCTATATATATGCTCTGGATGTTGTAATAAAAAGGTATCTGTTTCCCAAATTTTCAGGTATTATATAATCTTAGCAAACACCTTCAACTAAAAAATTCTTAAACATGTTATACACCTTTATTCAATGATGTATTCCTGAATAGTTACACATACATCAAAATTTTTTAATTGTATTTTAAATCTACTGAGGGAACCCACCATCTAAGATGAGCTTTACAAAAGAATTCACAGCAAAATTCTTTTGCTACCAGCAGAATAATTCAGTAGTGATGTGAAACATGTTTAAAGAGTGCTGTTAGGGAAAGCAGTCTTGTCACAGTGGATGCCTGAAAATCATTACCAGGTGACTTGGTGGAGGTGGCAGATCCCATGGAATTTGGATGAACTGCTGATCTCACCAAAAGTGTGCATCCTCTCACACGAAGTTGTGCAAAGCAAATTTGACAGCATTAAGCAACTCAGGGGTTTCCTGATAGTTGCCACACATTAGATCACCTGAGAAGCCTTTAAAAATCCTAATACCCAGGCCACACCCTGTACCATTAAAACATAAAGACTGGGGGATGGGAGCCAGGCAACAGTATTTTTTAAAAGATCAAGTTTTTTTAATGTGCAGCTAAATTTAGGAACCACTGAACCAACTTGACAACTCTGGACTCTGGACAAACTAGCTTTAAATTTTTATAGATCTTGGGGCGCCTGGGTGGCTCAGTCGTTAAGCGTCTGCCTTCAGCTCAGGTCATGATCCCAGAGCCCTGGGATCGAGCCCCGCATCAGGCTCCCTGCTCCACGGGAAGCCCGCTTCTCCCTCTCCCACTCCCCCTACTTGTGTTCCCTCTCTGGCTATCTTTCTGTCAAATAATAAAACCTTTAAAAAAAAAATTTTTTTTTTAGATCTTGATGGATCACTCTAATCTTACAAGAACCCTCCAGCCAATGCTATGAAAGTAGCCCTTGCTCACCTTCTTTGGTTTGGAGGAAGGATCCACAAGAGGTTAACTTATGTTTTGTGGCTGAATAATTATTTAGAATAGTGCTACTCACACCCAAGTGTGCTCTAAAAACCAGCAGTGTCACATCACCTAGGAGTCTGTTAGAAATGCAAATTCTCAGGATTCACTCTAGGCCCACCAAATCAGAATCTCTAGGAAAAGAGCCCAGGAATTGTTTAACGAACCCTCCAGGGGCATCTCATGCCTGCTAAAGTTTGAGAAGCAACACAATGTCCTCTCATTTCTCTATTTCTGCATTCCCATACATTCGGGTCTTCTGTGACCTTAGGGAAAGATCTCTTGACTACTTTATTTTCTACATTCTACCCAACTTTATTATTCTTGACTTCTGAGCTCTGAGACACATGCACATCATCACATTATTTCCTTTCTCTCTCCCTCTTAAATTTCTTCTTGAAATATGTCAGCATACTAAAAAGTATAGAGAATAATGCAATGAACACCTGCGTACTATCACACAACTTAAGAAAAACGTTAAAATAGCTTATTCTTGCTGAATTATTTCCTTAAGTGATCTGTGGAATAAGATTATGAACATGACATATGAATGATTTACAATGTCTGTTACACACATTATTTTCCAAAATGGTTGTAATATTGGGAGAACAGTATATACTTGGCACTGCGATCTATTATATTTTTTGTATTACAATTAAGAGAGAATGTAGACATATGGCATAAAATAGCACCCAAAGTTTGTTATTTTGACTTTTTGTGAAGACTGTATGTCCATATTCTGGTGTACTTATCCTCAGATTCTTGTTTTTCTTATAAGTTTGTATTGTTTTTCTTATTGTATATTAGTATTAACGTTTCTCATGCTTAATTCATCTATTTTCCTTATTCTTATCCTGTCACTGTTTTTAATTACAAAAGCAAAGATGTTTTAAATGTTTGTACCTATTTTATCCTCTTTATCTTTGCTACTATGTCTGTTGTCCCAAAATTGAATTATGGTACAGATCTGAAATATTCAATTTCTTTTTTCTATATGTTCATTGAAAAATGTTTAGCTTCTTTTTCTTTTTTTTAATGGGCAGCAAAGCAAAATGTATTGAGTGATAGTAAAGCAAAGTCTATTGAGCGATGGTACAAAGCTCCCGAAGAGAGAGGGGACCTGAGAGGATTGCCCTAAAAATGTTTAACTTCTTAATCAACTTAGCCTTTATTGTGATGCATGCGTGGGTAACCTTAATTTTCCCAAAGTGCTATCTGGCTATCATAAGACTATTTATTATGGAATAATTCCTTATCCCCTTGTTTTGAAACAATTAAGCTTTTATTCATAGTTGGTTCTATCTCTAAGTCTGTATAATACAGAATGAAAAAGAATTCTCTTTTGTGACTCAACACTGAATTGTCACTTTCCAACATATTCTATTATGTGTTAGGGCTGGACTACTATTTCTTTTCCAGAACATTTAAAAAATTTCTAGTCCTTTCCAAGTAAATTTTAGTATTATTGTGTCAAATTTCTAAACCATGTTCAGTTTATTGGCATTCTGATTAGAATTGGTTTACTCTAATAAATTGGGAGAATGCAAATGATTTTGTTTCTGGTCAAACAACATATCTGGAAAGGAGAGTTGGCTATTTTCCAAGATTGTAAGACTACTGACAGAGCACAGAAAACAAAGCAAGTAAAAGGATACTGTACAGCTATTAATAAACAGATAAACACCTGTTCTGAATTCCTCCTAAAGATAGGGCAAGATCAAACGGGATTTAGTTTCACAGTTAAGGTTACCCTCCTGATTATGAGAGTTTCAAGACCCTAAAATACATTCTTTCTCCCTCAACATCCTGATGATGAGAACAGACATCATCAGCCAGACTCTGAGCTAATGCTTAACATGTATGATTGTATTTAATCCTTCCATAACACTGTGAGGAGATACAAATTCCCAGGACAAAGATGAGAGGTCAGGAGAGAGGCTGCCCTGAAGCTTCTTTCCAGGAGAGCGCTTACCCGTCTGGCCACAGTGATTTCTTGTTGTTCTTCCCACTTCTTCTGTTCTGCTCTTACACGTGCTTTATACTCTGCAAGGTCAGGCATTTCTTCCAGCCATCGATGACGAGCATTTTGTACAGCTGTTTCTACCTGCAATTGGATATTGCAAGAGAAAGAGGTAAAGTGAGATATAAAATTTCAAAGATCCCATTTGCAAATAGCAACTACGATTTCATGTGTATTTCACATTGTACTGCACTACATTAGTTACAATGACTTCTAGGACTCCACCTTACCCCAAACAGTAGATTCTAATCCTTCTGTTCGAAACTTCCCATGCTGTCCCATGCAAATGTCACCACAGGAAGCAGGAATCTATAAATGTTTGATGGCCAATACTATTATTGGAAAGCTTCATACAAAGTACCAATTGCCATTTCCAACAAACTTCTTTTTCTCTTAGGGAAAAGGAGAAGACATGCAGGAATGCTGCTTGGGGTCAGCTGCTGTCCAGTCAGTACACCCACCATATCCACAGTCCTCATGCCTTACATATAAACACATTAACACATGCCAGCATGCACCAATATAGTTTATAGCCTAGTACCGAGCAAGTTTTCTTGCTGTCTATCCTGAGCTTGCAACTAAAGAATGAGGGGGGATACATCAATTCAGGCAAAAATGTAAGACTGGATGAATTATGAGGGCTATCTGGTTATAAAACTGTCACAGGTTACCACAAGATAATTTATTAAATAATCTTTCCTTATTTTGAAATACACACAGACACACACATACCTATATCCATACAAACATACAAAACCAAAGCTGACATAAGGGGCTGAATTGTTTTGTAAAATGCTAAATATATTTGCAGGTAAATTCCAGGGAGTTAAAAATATGGGGAAAAGATAAAGCTTCTATAGAAATTTATATTCCTTAAAAAGTTATTATGAATATTTCCTTTCTACTACATCATGCTATTTATTTTTCTTTACAAGATCTGTGATGGCATATACATCAAAGCAGCACCCTTCAGCATGTCTCTTTGTCCGCAGAACATTTTCTGAACTCTGTTCAAACCTTAAACATTTCAGGAAATTATTTAACTGACTGAAGATGCCCTTGACACCATTACATATATTTGCTTATGTTTCCATTCTGTAAGGGTTCCCTGTAAAATCATGCAGAACAATTTAATAAATAGGCAGAATGCCAAGTTTTTATCAAAAGCTGAATATATTTTTTTAAAACTTTACTTCAGGTATTAAGAGTTTATAATAAGTAATAGGTCTAAAATAGTAAATACAAAATAAAGAATATTGTATTAAGGTCCAGGGACCTCTAAGGGACTAAATACCCTGCCAGGTGCTCTGTAAGGTCAAGACTATTTTCAAAATAATATTCAGACCTTATCTTTTTTCACTCCCTCTCCTTCATGTGTGAATAATACAATGCTCCAGAGGCTACATGCCATGTGATATCTCACTGCTCTGACAGCCAATGGCAAGCATGCTTCAGTATTCTTGTTTTTTAAAAATTTCTCAGATTTATTTTCCAATACAGTAAATAGAATATAACACACACAGAGAAAAGCTCTTTAGGGTCTTTAAGTTCTTAAAAGTGGAAAGGCATCCTGAAACCAAAAAATTCAAGAATCACTGTAATAATACAGATTTAAAAAAATATTAACTCTTTATTCCATTTATACAGAGCTATACTTTTCTCAGTATGACATTTCTTGGAAACCAAATAACATGCCCCAGTTAAAAGTGAGCTAGCTTTCTGAGTGCTTCCACGGGGAGGCAATGGCACCGCTTTCTGGCAGGATATGGGATTTACAGACAACATCCCATTTAAGGGGCATGCCTGCAGATTCAACTCTGCAAGTCTCAATGTAAACACTGTTAAATATCTTACTTGCTTTAAGTTTGCTTTTTTATAACTACTTCAGTATTTTCTATAAAATTAGATACGAAAGATTCATAGTGAAATTGTGCTTCATTCAGCTATAAAACTACCACCTTTAACCTCAAGCATCCTAAAGCTTAGACTGAAAAAGGAGCAAACATTCTGAAAACTTAAAGAATACACAGAAAAACCAAGGGAGTAACAGCTTTGTGACAGGAAATATAATGAAGAAAATTTTAGTAACAACATAAGAGGCTCTCTACCCTACAATGCACAAAATTTTTAAAATATAAAGTTATGAACAAGTTCAATGGTACCATTTTACAGGTTTTCATTAATAGGCAGTTCCAATAATTTTACAATAATAAAACGTTAATATTACCTGTTTGGCAATATTTTCACAGTATTTGAGTTCTAACTCAACCTCAAGTTTCTTCAAGCCCCCACTGATAGCTGTCTCCTTCTCTTGCTCTAAATCTTGCCGGATCTTCCGCTTCTGTTCTTCTATCACAATTGCCATCTCTTTCTTGGAAATAACATCCATGGTGGCTACTTGGTCAGTTTGGCTGCAACAATCTGAGGTCTTCTTTTTCATGGCCTTTATAGTTTGATCCAGCTTAGACTGCCACTCCTTTTCAAGCTGTTGAAAAAGTTCTTGTTTGATCTGTTTTCAGGAGAAAAATCACATGAAAAAATATTCAAATAAGCAAAACTAGAATAGCTAGCCAAAAGAGCAACCACAGCTGTGTTAGAAAACAATTTAGACAATGTTGTAGCAATTACATGAGATTTAGAAACTTAGTCAATGAAAATATATTCTCAAGTAAATCCTGAAAGTTACTGTGTATATACGTGACATAAATCACATGGAGGATCTAAGTATACTGCATAAGGTCAGGCTATCTTGCTCTCAAGATGCAACTTTCCGGAAGCTTTAACACTGCCACTACAAAGACGGCACGAATCTTTTCTTCTTTTCCTTTTTTTAAAGAAGAAAACTTCTATTAATATGTGTTTTTTCCATCAACACCAGGCTTTCCACAAAGCAGGCACTGGGTTAAATCTACTTAATGGACCTAAAACTGAACAATCTAAAAAATAGTTTTACTTACTTGAACACATTAGAATCTTGTTTGTTATGATATTAAATTCTACTGAGTCAACTGTGCATTCAAGAAGGGGACGCATTATTAGAAGAATGTTTTAATGATAACATTCTACTTTCAACAGAGTACTGGGATGGATCCAAACACAGTCAGTCTTAGGCAAAACTGTGAAACAGTGGGCTTTTCCTGAAAAGCAAGCTTTGCCCTTTTCCTGTTTTCCACCTTCTGGGTATCCAGAGTTCTCAAACTGCTTCCCTGGCTACCACAGTCCCAGGCTGTATTGCTGCATCTGAAATAGCAACCTTGTGTAATGGTTTATGCTTTCCTTACAGTCTCACAAAAACATTAGCTCTCCAACTCATCCTCCTGGTAAAACTGGTTAGCAAATTCAACTAAAAAACAATTTGCAACAATGGAAAAATAGAGAATTTGCTTTGTGCTATCCAGATTTTATATATATATATATATATATATACACATATATATATTCCAGAATATATATTTTTATATTAAAATATGACGAGTAAAAGAATTTCAGGTGCCAGCACTAGACTAATGAATTGCTTTCGGGGGTGGGGGGTGGGGGATGGAAAGCAGGGAAGTCTGAAAAACAGGACAATGGTCTACTAGTCCACCTTTAGGTGGTCCCAACTCCAGTTAATAGCAATCTTGTGGATAAAAGAATCTCCTTTCAATAAGCGTGAAAATTTATTTCACTTCCAACTAAGTTTTCAAGATCATAATTTGGTTCTAAATTTTCTAGAAAACTACTAGCAATCTCATTTGCTACTTAGGTAACAGAGGTAATGTTTTGAGCTTCTGAGCCTGCCCAATCATTACTTCTTTCTTGGTCTTGGTCCAGATTGGTCTGGAGTTATCTGAATCATTCCACAATATGAAACTAGATGTGGGTTTCATTTTGAGGATTCAAAAAAGTGCTCCTCCAAAAACCATTATATCCTGAATTGGGTTGAAGAGTCAAGGGGTGGGGGGGAGGGGAGGCGGTGGGGGAGAATTAAAAAAAATAAAAAAAACTAGTGTAAGCTGAGCTGTCAAAAGCCCAATTCTGAGATGCGAAATAAATGATTATGTAAGTACTTGGCAATTAAAAACTACGTCTCTTCAGGAAGAACTATCTCTCAACAGTTAATACTACATTTTTTAAACATGGTGACTAGAAAGAAATTTTAACCCACACCTCTTTCTGTTCCTCATCCCAGTGTGATTTGGCTAACATCACTTCATTTTCAACCTGCTGCTTAATATCAGTTTCTTGTTCTTTCAGCCACTTGTTCTTTTCCAACATAAGGATATCTTGGTACTTTTCTTCAAGTTCCACCTGCAGTTTGCTTACATATTCTTCTCTTTCCTCCAATAGCTGTCTCTTTAAACAAAATTCAAGTAAATATCTCTGTATAACACTAATATTCTCCAAGTCAAATATACGAAATAATGGTTACATGCATGTAATAGCAGCAACAAAGACAAATGATCTTCCTACATGCTAACTCAATCAGCTTAATAAACTGTCTTGTAAAGACCTTAGATCTCAAATACTGGATAAAAAATTTAGAGATGGCTATATTAAAAGAAAAAGCATCTATTCAATAAATATATTCCCAGAAGACCAACTTTTTAAAAAGTGAAACTGACATTTATGTTTACACCCCACCCATCATGGGACCCATTAGATATCATAGCCCAGAAAAAAACCATATACTTCTGAAAGACTTGTATTCAGATGCAAGCCAAAAATTATTGGTCTATCTTAAAAATTATGCCTCCTGTAATAAATTCAGATTGGTATATTTTTTTCATTACCAAAGACAAAAACTTTTATCAAAACTAGCTGAAGTATTATCAGATAGTAACTGTCAAGCGTCAGATAAAATTTAATAATTTGAAGTATTAATATAACATTCTCTATTTACTCTAGGAATCCAGTTGATCGAAAAACTCCAATAAAGCTCTACTCGGGGATCAAAATGGCCGGTAACAGTTCCCATTTGAAATTTTTTTAAATGGTTCTCTGGACATTCCACTGAGATGCCACTGAAGCCCACAAAATACAATGCCAGAGAAGTATACACTTCACATACCTTTTGCCAGGCAGCAACAGAGCTTGTGCTCGGTGTCTCTTTTCCATTAGTTCTGATTCATGACTACCTGGTTGTCTGGGTTTTTTCTGGCTCACACCTGACCTGGCTTATTTTGGTCTGAATCGCCATCTGATTCCTCTCCACCAATAGCATGTGCCAAAAAGATGCCACCTAGTTTTGTTCAGTGTTGTGCGATTTCAGAAACTCTCTGGTGACTAAAGGACCCATTTCCTCACAATCAGGTCATGGAAACTATAGTTGTACTAACGCTATAGGACAGTCTCAATCACATGGCTGAGAATGTTGTCCAGGCTTACATCGTATATCGTTGTTATTTTTTGTTGACTTTAGAAGGAATCCTCAAATTGTCTTGTGTATATCTATCCTTCAGGAGTTGGTTCCGTATGTATCTACACTTCCTGTTGACTCACAGCAGAAAACTGCTACCAATTTTCTGTGTATTTGTATGTTTGTGCATAGATCAGCTTTTCTACATAATAAGCCAGCCAAAATTTAACAAAACTAAACTAAAACAGCAAACATCTATTATGTCTCATGATTCTCTGGGTCAGCTGGGTGGTGGTTCTGACCTAAGTCAACACAGCTGATCTCTGCAGGCAGTTGAGGTTATACGGTCTAAGACGGCCTCACTCACATGTCTGGGGGTTAGCTTGATGTCTGGATAGACAGATGACTTGGTCACATGTTTCATCACCCAGCAGGTTAACCCAGATCATTCACATGGTGGTGGTCACAGCATTCCTCAGATCATCAAGCTTGTAAGCCCCAATGCATAAATGCTTTTTAAGGCTCTTTTTGCATATACTAATGTCCCATTGGCCAAAGTTTGTCATGAAACAGACCACCTCTTACTGAGAATAGCTACAAAGTCACACTACAATAATACTGCGTGCATTCACTGACAGGAAGAACGTGTGGCCATTTTTGCAATCTACCACAGCGAGGAAAACCTAGCTTCCCTCTCTTGACAGAAGTAAAGTAATAGATTTATTGAGCACAGGGATCTGCCATTTGACCATACTACAGGAATATCTAATTTTTAAGTTTTATCATTAAAGGGAAGTAAATTTTTGGACGGCTTTAAAACATTTAAACTTGATTTGTATGTCCCAGACAGCAAACGAACTCTAACTTCTAAGGCCTGACTTAGCATGTATTACAGTTGTATAAATGAGTCTTAAGGTATATAGAAATGACATTATGAATGGGAATACTGCCCACCTTTGTCTTGTCTGCAAATTCATGACCTCCAATGATTACTACACAGTCTGAAGGGTTCTGTGTGTATGATGTTTTTCCCATTCTCTGAACAAGCCAGGCTAACAGGTGAGGGAAGTTCTGTTAATAAAAGTTTTAAAACTTGGAATTGAGCTCCTACTTAACCCACAGCCTGACTCAATAAGTGTCTCAGAAAAGAACACATATGGAACAGGAAAATACATCCTAGGGCTCTTGGGGTTACCTATCTTATAAATTCTGTATCCAGACTAAGTTACTGACCTGAAAGCCAACTGCAGGGAGAATGGCTTACGTTCTGCACAGAAGGGCTACCCTGAAGTTCCCTAGCTTGCTTGAGTGTAGTAAGATTCTTCCATGGTGTGAGTATGAAACATTTCCTAGGAAGACAGATTGGTATATCTCTGCCTACCTCTGGAGGATATCAAGAGATTAATAAATTCTCTTAAAGTTCTGTTCTGACTGGTTCTGTTATGACTAAGTTTTATAATGGGTTTATGTAAATCTAAATAAAAAACTAAAGTGTTCCCAGAGAGGGAAGGAATTATACTTCTAGTGTGGTAAGTACTCGGGCCCTCTCAGTAGGGGTGATTATAACTAGCACAAGGCAGTCTTGCAGGGCCATAAGTCTTCTGTACCCTCATCACTCTATTCATGTGCTAAATCCTGTGTTAAAAATGTATAGAACTCTACACCAAATGAAGAGTCAATTTCACTGTACGACAATTTGAAATTTTTAAAGAAAAAAATTTAACCTGTAAGTTTTTTTGGAAGGGCCAAATAGCAGTTTTAACATTCCTTCCTTGCGCCCCTGCACAAGCATTCATGAGCCAATATTGTATGTGCTGTTAACTGCAAGTGACTGATTATATGAGATCCAATTTTATAGCTAAATTGATTCTTTTAAAAGTACCAGAAAATATATTCCTGAAAAGAATGACCTCTTTGATAGAATTTTTTTTTTTTTTAAGATTTTATTTATTTTTTGACACAGAGAGAGAGAGACAGAGAGAGGGAACACAAGCAGGGGGAATGGGAAAGGGAGAAGCAGGCTTCCCGCGGAGCAGGGAGTCCAATGCGGGGCTCGATCCCAGGACCCTGGGATCATGACCTGAGCCAAAGGCAGAAGCTTAACAACTGAGCCACCCAGGCACCTGAGAATCGTTCTTCTGTTCTTTGTCAATTTATATATTTAAAAAGAAAGAATCACAGTAGAGATCTTCTCCCTATTTTAATTTTTTTAAACATTACTGAAAGCTAAGTCCTTAATTTCTAAGTAATTTAATAACCCTTCTAACTTTTATATTGCCAGCACTAACTAAAATAGCTCCCTTTAGAAGTTCTTCTTCCATTAGATGATAATGTACACATGGCATGTTTTTTACCATACTAATCTATTCAAAAATAATCAAAATATTAAATGAGCTAAATTAATTCCTCACCTGCTCTTTACTAATTCTTTTTAAGTCTGTAGTAGCAATAGCCTGCTTTAATGTAACTTTGTTCAGAAAACCTCTGTATAGAACATTTACTCAAGCCTTTAAAAATATTTCCTAATCTTGACGCAGGTGGCTTTCAAATTGTGGTCTGTAGGCTGGTCCAAAGTGGAAGGGAGAGTCAGACGTGCGTCTGGATGAGACTCTGGCCAGAACAGGGAAGAAAAGAGGGGCGACTGTTTATGTGTGATTTTACTCCTGGACACTCACCAATGGCAACTTGGAAGATTCAGGCAGGAGGAGGGAGTAGAGCAGCCCCTCCGGCTTCCCTAAAAGTGAGAACTTCCCCGAAAGATCGGGTCACACTAACAGTGTGACTTTGCTCTCTGTAGCTCCATATCACCACCTTCCCTGTCATAAGTCCCAAGTTCAAATTCTTGCCCTTCTCCCCAGAAGAAGAAAATGATACTTAGGTACTGAGAGAGAAGTGGGTCAGAGGAAAATGTGTCTGAGGGAATCTTTTGTGCAGTGCTCACAGGACTAGGTAGGTTTGCCTGCAGCCAACAAATAATTGCAAAACAAGGATCCCTGGGTTTCAGACTCACAGTGACTTGGGGCCACTCTTGTTTATTTTTTTATTCTTAGAATCTGTTTTGCCTCTTAGGATAAATATATAAGGAAGAATCCATTTCTCCTATATGTATTCCATTTTCTACTCATGTTTTAATAATCATCTCAATATTTACTATATTTTGTGAGCTGTATTGGTGTGATACAGCCAAAAGTAAAGAGACTTCTCCGTATGGCGTTTCCAGGTCACAAGAGAACAAGTGGACTGGTTTCCATGACAGCAATGAGGCCAGAGGAATGAGATGGAGCAAAGACAACATGAGCTTGTCCCGTACCTTCTCCTGAGCCTGTTGCTCCTTTTCAGTGGTCTTCCTGAGAGCCGACTCCAGACCATCCTTCTCTCTGCACACTTGCAGGTAACATTCTTGCACGGCAGCCATCTCCTTATTCGTCTTATCTAAGTCAGACCTTGGATACACAACACCGGCAACTAAATGACCGCAGAACAATACAAGAGTTGCAAAACAATTTCCCTCTCAACTACGGAACAGGAGAATACTGTCTCTACAGCTTAAAGGGCAGCTAACTCTCATTCTCACCTAAGTTGCAGGCGAGCCCCCTCATAAACTTCAAAGAGCTGCTGCTTCTCCAAAGCATGCTTTGCTAACAGGCTTTCCCGTATCTGGGCTTTCATGGCTTCATGGTGCTGCTGGTAAGTCCTCTCACACCTAGAAACAGAGAGCGGACAATAGAATCTATGGCAGTACCCAGCGTTAGTAGAAACACCAAGATGAAGTAACTGGTTTCTTTTTCTTCCTTCCCTACCCACTTCCAACCTCTGATGCAAATTGTAATTAAGGTCAGGTTGGTTTTCCCCAACCAAAAGTGGTAATAATTCCCAGTGGATGAGCTTAAAGAATCTTCAAAATTTTCTTCAAATGTTTCTAGAGAAAAATTAGAAACTTGGATATGAGAATGCTCCAGTCCTTCAGGTAATAGTCTTTGGTTGAGGACTGTTTACAAAAAATTAATTGAAATAATAGGGTATAGTTCCAAAATTCCAAAGTATCTATATTAAACATAAATACTAACAGTACCCAACTCACAAGTAAGTTATGTTCCAAAAATCTGTTTCCAAGTTTATGATTTGGTATTTGGAAGACATACTCCCTCCCACAGACTTCTTCCTTATAAAGAATAGTTTCCCAGACAGCCTATAAAAACCATAAAGCTATACTATTTCAATGAACTACAGTTTTGATGGTGCTATAGAACCTGACCCACTACATAACATCATTCCCATGGAAAATGGGTTCCGAATTCTAATTTGAGAAGCCAGGGACTCCTCTTCTTCAGTCGAAGATCTCAGCAGGGAGGGTTCACTCCATAACTTCTCTTGAATCTTTTTTTTTTTTAGCATGGGGGCATGGGGGATGGAAGGTGGAGGCAGGCATTAGACCTCTATATAGACTTTACCTATCCACAGCCTCCTGTTTATCACGGTCAAAATCTTGTACCATTTGTCTCATCTGACTACATAAGTCTTGATTTGTATTTCTCAGTTTTTCTTCAGTTTTTTTAAGTTCCTAGATACAAAAGAATAAAGTAGTTAGAGGAAATAAACATTATTTTCACTGATTAGTCCAATCTTATCTTTTAATATCCTCTGTGCTTTATCTCTACCCTGTAACATTTATGTATCATTTTCATAATTCTACAAAGTCTCTTTAAGCCTTGGAAGAGTATAGATTCATTTATTTGACAAGTAGCTTTCTGATAGCATTAAGACTTAAAATTTTGAATTCATTTTGAACCATATGGAATGAAAACATTTAACCAGAGAAGTATTAGCTAACTGATGTCTAAAAATAAGTCTTAGAATCTAATAATCATCACAGCTATATAAATAAACAAGGTTTAACTTTTTGGTCAAGAGAAGAACACCTCTAGTAGCCATGTTTCTCTATAGACAGGAAACTGGAATTATACTAATTTACCTTCTGATGAAACTACTATCTCATGACCAATAAAGGGAAATGACTGGAATCCTTATTCACCTACTAATAAAGCTGTCTACTAAATCACATCGCCTCTGGATTTTTGAAAAGTCTGTTATATCCTTTGAATTTAGTGAGGTCATAAAAATTCTCACAAAATATAGGAAACTTTTTTAATCACCTGATTTTGTTGTTGTAAAACGTGAATTTCATTTTTAAGTTGCAGAATGTCATCTTTGACAATGGTATCAGAAGTAGAAGAGCCAGGCCATAATTGATTAGTTAGGTTTTCTGAAGTCTCTATTTTAGTCTAAATGTTAAAAAGAAATCAAAAGTTTTTCAGGTTTTTAAAAAATTCCAAGTTCTGCTTTTGAACTAATTTCATACTTACGAAGAAATTGCAAAAACAGTGCAAATAATTTCCATATAACTTTTATCACCGCCCCCAAATATAACCATAGTACAATGACCAGAACCAAGAAATTAACGAGGATACAGTACTACTAACTAATCTACGGACCCCATACAAAATTCTCCAATCTTCTTCTCACATCCTTTTTCTAGTTCAGGATCCAATCAACAATTCCACATTGCATTTAGTTGTCATGTCTCATTAGTCTCCTTCAATCTAGACAGTTCAGTCTTTGTCTTTCAAACCTATGACTTTTTTTAAAAAGTGTCAACTAGTTATTTTGTAAGATGTCTTTCAATTTGGGTTTCTTTGATATTACTTCATTATTAAATTCAGGTCATCCTTTTTTTATATATATTTTATTTTGTTATGTTAATCACCATACATTACATCATTAGTTTCTGATGTACGGTTCCATGATTCATTGTTTGCGTATAATACCCAGTGCTCCATGCAGAACGTGCCCTCTTTAATACCCATCACCAGGCTAACCCATCCCCCCACACCTCTCCCCTCTAGAACCCTCAGTTTGTTTTTCAGAGTCCATAGTCTCTCATGGTTCGTCTCCCCCTCCAATTCCCCCCCCTTCATTTTTCCCTTCCTACGATCTTTTTTTTTTTTTTTAACATATAATGTATTATTTGTTTCAGAGGTACAGGTCTGTGATTCAACAGTCTCACACATTTCACAGCGCTCACCATAGCACATACCCTCCCCAATGTCTATCACCCAGGCATCCATTTTTTGGCATGAATGCCACAGAAGTGATGTGTGTACTCTTCAGGAAACACATGATATCAATGTGTGTCATCACTGATGATGATCAATAAATGAAGGTGGTGTCTGCAGGCACCTTCACTGTAAAGTCACAATTTTTCTACTTATTAGGAATAAGAAGCTTATGAGGGGATACTTTGAGACTATGCAAATATTCTATTTTTTATCTCACATCCAGTAAGTTTAGCATCTATTCTATTTCTGTACTTATTTGTTTGTATAATCAGTATTAACTCATAGATCTGTATTTTATTCAACAGGTACAATTTTTAAGGCTCATGACAGACTTTGGCAAATTGTTTCCCACAAGGTCATGCCAATGTACACTGTCAGACAGTCTGAGAGAATCTGCCCAACTCTCTTTGCCTCCATGGCAGTGCTGTCTTGAAATAATTACTGTAGTTGATGGGGTAAGGGTAGCCAACAAGTGCTTTCATTTGCATTGCTTGCATTGTCATCACAGCAGAACCTCTTACATACCTTCACTGTTCATCTGTTTTTCATCTTCCCAGATTTGCCTGTTTATACGACTTCTCCTTTTCCTCTCACCTCTGAGTGTCTTCCTTATCTACCTTTATGAGTTCTTTATTCATTGCGGGGGCCACAGAGATTTTTTTTTTAAATATCTACTCCATTTGACTGGTTGGTTTAGGTATTTACCTGAAGTCTGAGCTCTCTTTCACAATATCTAAAAAATATCCTATGTCAAGATTCATTCTCCTCATTGGGCAGGTAATGTGCGTCTCACATGTGGGGTGACAGAACACCAAGGCTCTGGTTCAGTCTTCCAATTCAGAGCCTTCGCTTTTCTTTACAGGGAGACTGCTCCAGTTGTTGACTTTCCCCTTTCACTTGCCCCCATTGCCCAGAAGCCACTGCTTCTACTCTAGTCAGAAAGAGAAGAGCTACGAATACCTATTGTTACCTTCTCTCCAGATGTAGGGGTACTAATCAGACTTTCAAGGATTTTACTGACTCATTAGAATGGCTTTCATTTTTTTAACTTGGCCTCAACTTTTTAAAGTTTATGATACTCATTTGTGCTTCCTTCCCCACCGGCAAGTTTTTATTACCATGAAATGAAATGATTGAAAATAACATCATACTGATACATGGGAAAACAGTTTTCACGGCTATTACACTCAGTTTTGACATATTATCACACCGCAGGCACACAAGGACTAGGTACTTGTACCTATCAGCACAAAAACCCTTAGGAAGATCTTGAAAAAGGAAAGGACCACTTGAGTGTTACAATGAAACCTCTTTTAGAGTTGGAATACTAAGGACATTACCTACAAGAAAACAAGACATGTAATACACCAATTCTCACATTATCTTCCTAATTCCTATGTCTAAAAAGATTCTGGCTAGGAACCTTCTGAGCTGGCTACTGAGCATTGCCTATCAAGTATCTTGGAATCAGAGTATGGCTTTAACCACAGCTCGTGGTTAGGTAATGATCTCTACTGAGTATCAGATACAGAAAGGCCTCTGTATTCTATTATTACAGAATAATAAAAAAAAAAGTGTGGATATGGGTCCTGACTGCTAGACTGATCTTCCTAAGAACTTTGCTACATTCTACCTTAATGGCCCAGTTGTTCGATTGGAATGAACAGCACAGGATTTGGTCCACTCCCAATCAGTGCATAGTGCTGCATATGGACAAGCTCCTAATCTTCATCACTTATGATCCTGGAAATGTCAGAGAGCAGCACTGTTTGAATAGTCAAATGATATGAAAGCAAAGACAACAGACTCTCTGTGATAATCTTTAATTGTTCTGTATAAGACGGATATGAGCAAACATAAAATATACTACAAGGTTATAAAGCAATAAATACAACAATACTTTTAAATGTTCATAAAAGAAACATGCCAAGTAAGATTACATAAGTATTTTTGCTTGCCTTTTCAATACTTAGAAAGGCTTTAAGAAAGGATTTTGATGACCTAGTTCTCTTTAAAAAAAAATCCAAGGAAGTTTAAATTGACATGTTCTTTCTCTTAACATCCCTATTGCAAGCAGAGAAGCTCAATATTATTTCATTAACCTCAGGATTTAATGCCAGCTATGATATTATTCCAGAAATTGATATAGTATCTATATATTTGTGGCTTCAAAGATTCCAGAAAGATGGAGCTTATACAATGTAGACTTTTATTCACATGCCCTACTCCTTAGTCACACCAGTTTATTTGCTATATCCTTTTATATACTTGGCTCAAGGCTGAAATGTTTCTTCCTACCTTCTTTCCTGCATTTATCCTTCAGGACAGAGATCAAACATTCCCTCCTTAAAGACCTCACTCACTAAGGCTTGCCTTACCATCTCCCCTACAAACACGCCTGGTTAGTCATTCCTTCTCAGAGCACCTTGCAACTAGTATCATCCTTATTACACGAAGTTATATATGTCCATCTCCTTACAGATCTGTACTGTTGAATATGGTAGCCATTAACCACATATGGTTATTGAGCACTTGAAAAATGTCCACTGACACATGAATGGATAAAGAAGATGTGGTACACACACACAAACACACACAATGGAATATTAGCCATCAAAAAGAATGAAATCTTGCCATTTGCAATGATGTGGATGGAACTATGCTAAGGGTATTATGCTAAGTGAAATAAGTCAGAAAAAGACAAATACCATAGGATTTCACTCATATGTGGAATTTAAGAAACAAAAGAGATGAATGGAGGGGAAGGGAAGGAAAGATAAAATAAGATGAGAACAGAGAGGGAGGCAAGTCATGAGAGACTCTTAACTATAGGAAACAAACAGGGTTGTTGGAGGGGTGGTGGTGGGGGCAATGGGGTAACTGGGTGATGGGCATTAAGGAGGGCACTTGAAGTAATGAGCACTGGGTTTTGTATGAAACTGATGACTCACTAAATTCTACCTCTGAAACTAATAATACAGCATATGTTAATTAAATCGAATTTAAATAAAAAATAGAAATGTGTCTTATCCAAATTGAAATGTGCTGTAACTGGACAATACATGTTAGATTTCAAGGACTTGTCACAAACATAAAAAATGCAAACCATCTCGGGCGCCTGGGTGGCTCAGTTGGTTAAGCGACTGCCTTTGGCTCAGGTCATGATCCTGGAGTCTCAGGATCGAGTCCCGCATCGGGCTTCCTGCTCAGTGGGGAGTCTGCTTCTCCTTCTGACCCTCCCCCCTCTCATGTGCTCTCTCTCTCTCTTTCTCATTCTCTCCCTCAAATACATAAATAAATAAAAAAAAAAATCTAAAAAAAAAAAATGCAAACCATCTCATTAATAATTTTATATTGATTACATACTGAAAATATTTTGAATATATTGGGTTACATAAAATATATTAATTTCACCATTACTTTTACTTTAATGGGATTACTAGAACATTTTAAATTACATATGTGGCTCTATTATATTTCAACTGGATAGTGCTGTTCTAGATTCTAAATTCCTTCAAAGAATGGCCATTGTTTCTTTCCACTGAATCCCACAAGACCTTGCACAGAGTAGCTTTACAAAAAAAAAAAAAAAAAAAGCTTAAGCAGAACGATTTGCTCTTACTCCATATACCTCCCAACCCTGCTTTCTAATGCTATAGACTAAGTAGAAAGCTCATTAGAAATGTGGGAAATAAGCAAAGGCATAGTTTGAAGGTGTCCATGGGCTAATTAGATGACTGTCAACTTGAGTGTTTATCTAAAAAAAATACCTGTTGGTTAAATTACTATTTCCTCCAGCTTCATATTCCTCATCTGTAAAGTGAGGACGCTAACTGAAGGATATAAAAGTGGAGTCAGTGATTCTGACTTAAGTGGTTTCTGTGCCTTTCCCACTCATAACACCACCACTACGTAATTAATTTCCTTATATAGAATGACGTTTATTACAGGAACATGGGCCAGAGAAATCTCATGGACAAAATGCTGAAGGATCTAGTTGAGGAGAACTTAAGACTAGAACACTGTTGGGCACCTGGGTGGCTCAGTCAGTTAAGTGCTTGCCTTCAGCTCAGGTCATGTTTTCAGGGTCCTGGGATCGAGCCCTGCATCAGGCTCCCTGCTCAGCCGGGAGCCTGCTTCTCCCTCTCCCACTGTCCCTGTTTGTGTTCCCTCTCTAGCTGTCTCTCTCTGTCAAATAAATAAATAAAATCTTAAAAAAAAAAAAAAAAAGACTAGAACACTGTTGGTATAAGCCAATTTTGAGGAAATGCAGATACTTTGTTATGTAGACTGCTTCCTTGGATTTATGGTAAAGGAATTTTACCTAATTAGCATCTCATTTACAAGATGCCAAGAGGAACTAGAAAATATATTACTTTATGTGGCATTCCCTTCTTTATACTTTACTTCTAAATAACGTCAAATGAAACCCTGGAAGACAAAGGTTTGATTTAAATGTGAAGACTGTAAGCATTTTCTTTATTAAACCTTTTAAGAATGGGTTTTTGAGTCTACAAATTCTACAAACCTCAACTGTGATGTTTTCATCTTTCTCTGCTTGTTGGAGAGCTTCCATTTTCTTACGACAGTCTCTGAGATCATTTTGTAACTGAGACACCAGATGACGCTTCACCGCGTTGCTCCCCAGCAAACGCTGCACTTCTGCTTTCAGCTTCAGAATGACCTCATCTTTGGAAAGCTCGTCCTTTGGCTCTTCTTGCTGTACAATGCTAATGGAGAAGTTATCATATTTAATGTTAAAGCAAGTAACAAATCAAGCATGGTTAGTCCTTGAAACTAACCGCAGTTGTGACCATATTTTGTGACCTATACAACTATACACTAGTATTTCAAAAGCAATTTTAAGTTCTGTCATACACAAGGGTATCACCCTTGCTATGTCCCCATACACAGAAGTCTATTCATAAGAAGACTATTATTATGCTTAGACCACCTGCCTCACTGAAAGGAGTTCAACCATGTGAACTTCAATATGGCATGCTTTTTTTGCTTTTGGTTAAGTTGCATGCTGCTGTATATGTATGCCCTTTATGACCCTAAGAGAAACAACACGAAAATAAAGGAGGCAGTGAAAAGTAAAATAGTCATCCTAACAATTTCTGTATCTTTTTTTTTTTTTTTAAGATTTTATTTATTTATTTGACACAGAGAGAGAGCACAGAAGCAGGGGGAACAGCAGAGGGAGAGGGAGAAGCAGGTTCCCCACTGAGCAGGGAGCCCGATGCGGGGCTCGATCCCAGGACTCTGGGATCATGACCTGAGCCGAAGGCAGACACTCAACCGACGGAGCCACCCAGGCGCCCCTGTATCTCTTTTATTTATACACAAGTCTGAGTGGTTATCTGAGCAACTGGGGCAAAAATAACAAAAATAAAACCATGCTAATTTAATTCCAACTTTAGTTTCAATAAATTTCAAAACTGGAATGAGATGAGAATTCTGCTCCTTGCCATAATAGATTAAAAGTACCAGATTTCTCTTCCTGCCCTAAAAAACAAGAAAACCAAATAAAATATATGAAATGATCATTTTCAATCATGAGACAACAGGCAGCAGAGCATAATGATCCTTCAGAAAAGGAAAACAAACAAGGTGAGCCCTGTGATCCTTCCTGCTTTCTCCCTGGGAAATTTCCAGCCTGCGGCACAGGGAGAGAAAAGCCAAAGACTGCCTAGCAATCTCTCGTTTGGGAAGGACAAAACGGCTAGAATTTGATGAGGGAAATACTATGGGAAAGGTAACTACACAGAAAGAACTCTAGAGATCCGTATATCCATGTGAGAATATTACTGCAAAGCCAGGGAAACCACAGGAAAGGAATAGGGCTGGGAATACTGGGGGTTCCAATGAACCATAGTGGAAAGACCTCCTAATTCACAAAATATTAAATACTGCCTTAGTAATGGGGCCAAATTAGCCCCAGGTTAAATAAAGTCTGCTCTAAATCTGACCGAACAAAACCTATAAAGAAGGCTTAAAAGGACCAAATGGATTCCATGAAACTTAAGTGTGCCACAGAAAAAGAATAACAATATTTTTATAAATACAACAAAATCTAACATCTCAAACATAAAATTCAAAATACCCACCATCCAATCAAAATTTATGAGGCATGCAAATAAGGAAAGAAAATATAAACCATAACCAGGAGAAAAATCAATCAATAGAAACTGACCCAGCAATGATGCTGGCAGTAGAATTAATTATATTCTATATGTTCAAGGTAAGAAAAAAAACATGAACACAATAAGAAATAAATGATATAAAAATGACCCAAAGTGAACTTTCACTAAATATTACAACATCTGAAATGAAAAATATCCTCGATGAGATTAACAGCTTATTTAATATTGCAGAAAAGATCAGCAGACATAAAGATGTAACAATAGAACTCTACAAAATTAAACACAGAAAGAAGACTAAAACAGAAATATACTGAGCATGTTAAGTTTTCTAACCCCATTGTAACTGAAATCCCAGAAGAGGAGAGAGGAAGGGGACAGAAAAAAAATTTATTTTTTTAAAGATTTTTATTTATTTCAGACAGAGAGAGCAAGCACAAGCGGGAGAGGGGCAGAGGGAAAGGGGAAAACAGACTCCCTGCTGAACAGGGAGCTCAACAGAGGGGTCAATCCCAGGACTCTAGGATCATGACCTGAGCCGAAGGCAGACGCTTAATGAACTGAGCCACCCAGGCACTCCCCAAATTTTTTTAATGAACAAAATTCTATTTGATGAAAATTAAAATCCTATTAAAACCTATAAGCTCAATGAATCTCAAGCAGAAAATGAAGAAAACCACCATAAGTTATATTAACATCAAATTGCTGAAAACCAAGATAAAAAGAGAGCACAGGAAGACTCCTGGAGAGGAGAGAACCAGAGAAAGGAGTCATGAATTCTGTACATAAATATGTACAAGCAAGCTTTGCGCAGTGGCAGTATCATAGCCAATGAGGTTTATCCGAGGCGCGATTATTGCTAATTGAAAATATGTACAAGCCTTAGTCTAAGCCCTGAACTATGCATGCACAGAACAGACCCACAAACCAGCAGAGCAAATATTTGGAGAATTTAACTGAAATTTGAACCACACACACAAATCTCACAATGACTAACTTTTGAGCTATGCATACAAGGACAGATTCAAACCAATGTGGCAAAGGCTTGGACAAATAGAGATTTGAAACATCTATACAAGTTTCTACACAACATAAAAACATCTAATACAGGCATACCATGGTGATATCGCAGATTTGGTTACACACTACCACAGGAAAGCAAATATTGCAGTAAAGTGACACAAATGAAGTCAAGTAAGTGAGCAACAGCATTATGTCTAAAAAACAATATACAAACTTTAATTAAAACATACTTTATTGCTAAAACATGCTGACCATTGTCTGAGCTTTTAGTGAGTTGTAATCATAGAAAATAGCTCAACAGAAATTATCCAATATGAAAACAGAAAAAAAAAATTGGAAAAAAATGAAGTGTCTCAGGAACTGTGGGACAATACAAAAAAAATTTAAATTGTATAATTGGAGACCTAGAATAGGAGAGAAGAAAGAAGCAGGGACAGAAAAGATATTTGAATAATGGTCAACATTTCACAAATCTGGTAAAGGACATAATAAATTCACATTTTCAATAAACTCAGTGAACACCAAATGAAATGAACTAGAAAAACCAAAAAACATTTAAGACACATCTTAATCAAAGTGCTGAAAAGGGGGAAAAATATCTTGAAAACAACAAAAGAAAAACAACACATTACACACAAGATAATGGTCCAAATAACAAGGATTTCTCTTCAGAAACCACGAACGGCAGAGACAGTGGAAGAACATATCTTTAAAATGCTGAAATAAAAGAACAATTGATCCAGAATTCTGTAATCAGTAAATAGAAGGACATCATCATATAAGGAAGCTTAGAAGAAATGCTCAAGAAAATTCTTCAATCTAAAGGAAAATGTTATCTATAAAAAAAACTACGAGACATTACTGGAGAGAAGCTAAAGAAGACATAAATAGAGAGGTACAACATGCATGTTCTGAAATTGGAAGACTCAATTTTTTTCTTCCTCCAGCTTTATTTAGGTATAAATGACAAATAGCAATTTCTTAAGATGTCAATTCTCCCCAAATTGGTCTATAGCTTCAACATAATCCCAGTTAAAACTCCAGCAGACTTTGTTGTATAAATTGACTAGGTAATCATTAAATTTATTTTGGAATGCAAAGAATTAGAATACTCAAAACAATTTTGAAAAGAAAGTTGAAGGACTTGCCCAACACATTTCAAGACTTACTGTAAAGCTATAGTACCAAGAGTGTTACTAACAAAAAAGTAGGGGAACAGAATGGAGAGTACAGGGGCGCCTGGGTGTCTCAGTCATTAAGCGTCTGCCTTCAGCTCAGGTCATGATCCCAGGGTTCTGGGATCGAGCCCCTGCATCGGTCTCCCTGCTCGGCGGGAAGCCTACTTATCCCTCTCCCACTCCCCCTGCTTGTGTTCCTTCTCTCGCTGTGTCTCTCTCTGTCAAATAAATAAATAAAATCTTAAAAAAAAAAAAAGGAGAGTACAGAAACAGGCCACAAATGGTCAATTAATTATCAACAAAGATATCAAGGCAATTTAATGAGAAAAGAGAGGTTTTTCTGACAGATCAACTGGATACTGATATGAAAAAAAACGGACATCAATCCTTACCTCATACCATACTAAACAACTAATTCATAATAAATTAAATGTAAGAGGTAACACTATCAAATTTCTAAAGTCCTAAGAAAATTTTTGTGACAGAGTTACATTAGAACAAAAAGCCAGGAACTCTTTTAAAAGAGATAACTGATAAATTTGAATTCATAAAAACTTAAACTTTTGCTCTTCAAAAGATACATTAAGAACAAGATAAGGTAAACCAGAGTAGAAGAAAATATTCACAACATATAGATCAGAGAAAGGGCCTGTATCCTGGAATAAATAAAAACCAAACGACATAAACAAATGGCAGTGAAGCACATCAGAAAAAAAGAAGAAAGGGAAAGAAAAGCACATCAAAAAATGTTTAGGGACGTCTAGGTGGCTCAGTCAGTTAAGCGTCCAACTCTTGATTTTGACTCAGGTCATGATCTCAGAATTGTGAAACTGAGCCCAGGGTTGGGCTTCGTCCATGCTGGGTCTGAGCCTGCTTAAAATTCTCTCTCTTCCCTCTGCCCCTCCCCTCCCTTGTGCACATATTCTCTCTCTCTCTCAAAAAAAAAAAAAAAAAAAAAGATGCTTAGATCGTTGGTCATTAGGTAAATAAAAATTAAATCACAGTAAGATTATCACTACACACACACTACAAATACTCAAGTTAAAAAAGATTAATACCACCAAGTTTTAACAACGTAGAACAACAAAAACCTCAGACATTGCTTCTGGTAATGCAAAATAGTACAGTCACTTTGAAAAACAGCATTCACGCTATCAATATCCAAATAAAATAGAGGAATTCTAATGTAACCTTAAAGAGAAAGCAAGTTGGAGCATAAGTGAAACAAAAAAGCTACAATTATCTCCATTAGCAAATAATATAATTATATCTAGAAAAACCTAAAATACAATGGAAAAACTACTACAAACAATAAGAGAATTAAAAGTAACAGGTTACAACAAAAAAATATAGAAATCATATGTACAAACATTACTCAAGAAGAAA